CGTACCGTGGCCCCGGCGGAGAACACCATCTCATCTTCCTCGACCAGTGTTACCGATTTGTCGGTCGACGAGCGATGGGGAGAGCAGGAGCAGGGAGACCCGGTCTCCCGCCGAGGCGCAATGGAGGATTTCGAAGAGATGAGACGTGAATTGACTCGGCTCAGTCTGCACCGAACTCGATCAACCGCCAAAGCTCGTCGACAAAGCCAGCCCCGGGATGAAGAGAAAGCCTTTGACGAGGCTTCGTCCGCCGCCGATGAAGATTTCCAGGGTGGGTTCGACCTCAACGAGTTCTTGATGGGTGGTCAGCTCGAGCGCCGCACGACCGCCGGTGAACCTGCGAAGAAAGTCGGCGTGGTGTTCAAGAACGTGACCGTGAAGGGCATTCAAACAGGTGCTTCGTTCGTGCGGACCTTGCCTGATGCAGTCGTCGGTACTTTCGGGCCCGATCTGTATAAACTCGTCACCAACTTCATCCCGCAACTTCACTTCGGCAAGCGCCCCCCAGTTCGAGATCTGCTTCACGATTTCAGTGGAGCCGTTCGGGAGGGTGAAATGATGCTGGTGCTTGGTAGGCCAGGCGCTGGCTGTTCAACCTTCCTGAAGACCATTGCAAATGACCGCGGTGCTTTCGCTGGCGTGGAGGGCGATATCAACTACGGTGGTCTGTCCTCGGAAGAGCAAAACAAGCATTTCCGGGGTGAGGTCAACTACAACCAGGAAGACGACCAGCATTTCCCGAACCTTACCGTCTGGCAGACCTTGAAGTTCTCCTTGATCAACAAGACCAAGAAGCATGACAAGTCTAGCATCCCGGTCATTATCGACGCCCTGCTGAAGATGTTCGGTATCACCCACACGAAGAATACCCTCGTGGGTAACGAGTACGTTCGTGGTGTGTCGGGTGGTGAGAGGAAGCGTGTCAGTATTGCCGAAACACTTGCTACCAAATCCTCGGTGGTTTGCTGGGACAACTCCACTAGAGGTTTGGATGCTAGTACCGCTTTGGATTACGCCAAGTCCCTTCGCATCATGACCGATGTCAGTAAACGGACTACTCTTGTTACTTTGTACCAGGCCGGAGAAAGCATTTACGAGCTGATGGACAAAGTGTTGGTCATCGACTCGGGCCGTATGCTCTATCAAGGACCTGCCGACGAGGCGAGACAGTATTTCGTCAACCTTGGTTTCTATTGCCCCGACCAGTCTACCACCGCCGATTTTCTCACCTCCCTCTGCGACCCGAATGCCCGCCAATTCCAGCCCGGCCGCGAAGCGTCGACTCCGAAGACTGCGGAAGAGCTTGAGTCCATTTTCAAGCAGAGCAACGCGTACAAGCAAATCTGGAACGACGTCTGCGACTACGAAAAGAGATTGCAAGACACCAACCAGGAGGACACTCGCCGCTTCCAAAAGACGGTTGCCCAATCTAAGAGTAAGACCGTTTCGAAGAAGTCCAGCTACACCGTCTCCATCGTCCAGCAAGTCGCAGCCTGCGTGCGGCGTGAGTTTTGGTTGTTGTGGGGTGACAAGACTTCTCTCTACACCAAATACTTCATCATCATTTCCAACGGTCTTATTGTCTCTTCTCTGTTCTACGGCGAATCTCTGGATACTAGCGGTGCATTCTCGCGTGGCGGTGCCCTGTTCTTCTCCATTCTGTTCCTGGGTTGGTTGCAACTGACGGAACTGATGCCTGCTGTCTCTGGGCGTGCAATCGTTGCCCGCCATAAGGATTATGCCTTCTATCGTCCGTCTGCTGTCGCAATTGCCCGAGTTGTGGTGGATTTCCCAGCCATTTTTTGCATGGTTGTGCCTTTCACCATCATCGTCTACTTCATGACGGGACTCGATGTGAGTGCATCCAAATACTTCATCTACTTCCTCTTCGTGTATACGACAACGTTCTGCATCACATCGCTCTACCGTATGTTTGCGGCGCTTTCCCCGACGATCGACGATGCTGTCCGATTCAGTGGTATCGCTCTGAACGTGTTGATTCTCTTCGTTGGTTATGTGATCCCGAAACAAAGTCTGATCGACGGTTCGATCTGGTTTGGATGGCTTTTCTATGTGAATCCTCTCTCGTATAGTTACGAGTCGGTTTTATCCAACGAGTTCTCTGATCGTACTATGAACTGTGCACCCTCGCAACTGGTTCCTCAGGGCCCAGGAGTGGATCCAAGATACCAAGGCTGTGCTCTTACGGGATCTCGCCTTGGAGAGACCTCGGTCGCTGGAGCTCAGTACCTCGATACAACCTTCCAGTTCACCCGGCATCACTTGTGGCGCAATTTTGGTGTTGTCATTGCTTTCACTGTACTCTATCTGCTGGTTACCATTCTTGCCGCTGAATTCCTGTCCTTCGTTGGCGGTGGCGGTGGCGCGCTGGTCTTCAAGCGTTCCAAGCGCTCCAAGCAGCTGAAGACCCAGAACACCAAGGAAAGCGATGAGGAGGGTGCCAAAAATGCGGGAGATGACGCTGCATTGTCTCGCGGAGAGGCGAATTCTTCCGGTGCCGCCGATACCTTCAACCGTCTCTCCTCTAGCGATCGGGTCTTCACTTGGTCAAACGTCGAATACACGGTGCCTTACGGTGGCGGAACTAGGAAGCTGCTGAACGGTGTCAATGGATACGCGAAGCCAGGGCTCATGATCGCTTTGATGGGAGCTTCTGGAGCAGGTAAGACGACTCTTCTTAATACTTTGGCTCAGCGTCAGAAGACGGGAGTTGTCACCGGCGACATGCTTGTCGATGGCCACCCTCTTGGAGCGGATTTCCAGAGAGGCACTGGTTTTTGTGAGCAGATGGACCTTCACGACAATACGTCTACTATCCGAGAAGCGCTTGAATTCTCAGCAATCCTCCGTCAAGATCGAAACACCCCCCGGGAGGAGAAGCTTGATTACGTGAACCAGATTATCGACCTTTTGGAGTTGGAAGACATTCAGGACGCCATCATTGGCTCTCTCAATGTTGAACAGAAGAAGAGAGTTACCATCGGTGTTGAATTGGCGGCCAAACCCAGCCTTCTCCTGTTTTTGGACGAACCTACCAGTGGTCTCGACAGTCAAGCAGCTTTCTCAATCGTTCGATTCCTCAAGAAACTTTCCCAGGCAGGACAGGCTATTGTATGCACCATTCACCAGCCCTCGTCCATGCTCATTCAACAATTCGATATGATCCTAGCCCTGAACCCGGGTGGAAACACCTTCTACTTTGGACCTGTCGGTCACGAGGGCCGTGATGTGATCAAATACTTTGCGGACCGCGGTGTTGTTTGCCCTCCGACGAAGAACGTTGCCGAGTTCATCCTGGAAACAGCAGCCAAGGCGACTATGAAGGACGGGAAAGCCCTGGATTGGAACGAGGAGTGGAGAAACTCTGACCAAAACCGCCAGATTCTGGACGAAATCAAGCACATCAGGGAAGAGCGAAGCAAGATCCCTATCGCTGACAAGGGAGTTCAATATGAATTTGCTGCACCGACTTGGACCCAGACTGTTCTCCTCACCGAGCGAATTTTCAGGCAGTACTGGAGAGACCCATCTTACTACTATGGAAAGTTGTTCGTCAGTGTTATCATTGGTATCTTCAACGGATTTGTAAGTTGACTCGTTCCCTGCACGTTCGTTCCCACGCATTGCTAACTCCATCATAGACTTTCTGGATGCTCGACGATTCCCTGGCCAGCATGCAGAACCGCATGTTCTCTATCTTCTTGATTATCCTGATTCCTCCCATCGTTCTGAACAGTATTGTGCCCAAGTTTTACATCAACCGCGCCCTCTGGGAAGCTCGTGAATACCCTAGTCGAATTTACGGCTGGTTCGCTTTCTGCACGGCCAACGTTGTCTGTGAGATCCCGATGGCGATCATCTCCGGCCTCATCTACTGGCTGCTTTGGTATTACCCAGTGGGATTCCCCACCGATTCGAGCAGTGCTGGATACGTGTTCCTCATGTCCATGCTTTTCTTCCTGTTCCAAGCTAGCTGGGGACAGTGGATTTGTGCCTTTGCGCCGTCTTTCACTGTCATCTCCAACGTACGTTTCTCTGCTTCCGTGGCTTCAAAGTCCAATACTAACAACCGGACTCTAATAGGTTCTCCCCTTCTTCTTCGTCATGGTCAACCTGTTCAACGGTATTGTCCGTCCTTACAGTGACTACCCGGTCTTCTGGAAGTACTGGATGTACTACGTCAACCCAGTCACCTGGTGGCTCCGCGGCGTCATCTCCAGCGTGTTCCCATCTGTCGAAATTCATTGCACCTCCATGGAGTCGACGCACTTCGACCCGCCCCCTGGCTCCACCTGCGGTGACTACGCCAACAACTTCGTCAAGAACATCGCCGGCGCTGGATACCTGATCGATCCCAACGCCACTTCGGACTGCCAGTACTGTCCGTACCGCGATGGTATGGAGTACATGCAAACGCTGAACGTCCACGACGGAGATAAGTGGCGCTGCTTCGGTATCTTCTTGGCCTTTGTAATCATCAACTGGGCCTTGGTCTACTTCTTCATCTACACCGTTCGTGTCCGGGGCTGGTCCTTTGGCGTCGGATACGTCTTTGGCGGTTTCGGCATGATCATCAACGGTATCAAGGGCCTCTTTACTAAGAAGTCTGAGAAGGCCCAGCAGTAAACTTGGCACTTGATTCTGGTTCTCTTTGTTGTTCGCTCCGCCCCCCGAACTTATGGGATCGGGTGTTGGACAACATGGCAAGGGCCAGAGTTGAGCGAGAAACAAAATATAATATACGAAATTTTGCAAGGAAAGCAGAAGAAAAAGTTTTATCATTGGCACATTTTCAACCAGCAAGATAGACAGTGTTTGTTTTTGGATTTGGCAAAAAATTTTTGAAGGAATAAACGTATTCCGTTCCCACTGATGCCAACTTATTATTAATGTCATATCAGATCATATCTTCTTAGATAGTTCAACCAATCTATACCCAATTGATTGCTCCCTCTAACTCCATTCCATATTCAACTTACTCAAAACGTAGAATTATACCACGGTTTGCGATTCGCTCCGTATCGCGCGCCGGGAAATTCCATTGGCACTGGGATGGCCCCTGTGAAAACATCCAGGCTGGTCGCGGATTCGGGATCGACTGGTTCGGCTGCGGGCTTGGGCTCGGATTTCTTTTCATCTTCCTTGCCCAGCTGACTCGAGGACTCAGAGGACGTTTCATCTGGATCAAAAAACTCGGCCTTGCCCTTCTCCGTAGATTCGGCTTTAGTGTCTGGTTTCTTCGGCTCGATGACTGGCACAAGAACACCGCATTCCCAGTTGCGGCAGTTCAGTTTGGGTTCCTTGGTTGAACGGTCTTGGACGAGTCGGCCCCTATTTTGGATTCACTCAGGTCAGGGAATCGATCACCGTTAGGGGAGGGGGTTGTCAAAGAAGACTAGGTAGATAGAGAAAGTTGGAGAAGACGGGCGACTTCATGACTATGGCTTCCATTCAAATCCACTCACCAGGCACTTTCGGAGAGATTGGCACTCCCGACATACGCCCACGCGCGACATTCGGTGTTGTTTTTCATTGGAACCGGTTCATCGAGACGAACGTATAAGAGCTATATCATCCGGGATCACAGAGGTAAGCAAACGCAAGAAGCAATGAGTGATAAACAACACCACCCGCACGCACGAAAGACAAACGCAACCATGATCCAATCTAGACATACCTTATTATGCATCAACAGCCCGAATCGATTGCTCTTGCAGTCGCGAAGCACATGGCGAGGAAACTTGGCGCCTTCATACCATTTCTCTGAGAAGCAGATCGTTCCTGCGTTTTGGGGACCGCCGCGAGAATCCCTGACGACCTCCTGGGATGGATAGTAGACGCGGAACCGATCCTTGGATTCCTTAGCAGTAGTCTTCTGGATCAGCTTGTTCGGGTCGGTGCGGCTTTTCGCGGGGAAGTATTTAGCGGTGCGGAGGGTGAACTCGGTGGATCCGTCGTCGCCTTTGGGGAAGGAAAGGGTTGGTTAGTTGGAGGGTATGGCATTCGTGTGGAATGGTAGGAGGATGGGTGAAACCTACCTTGTGAGGCGAGGTATAGGGACCTTAGGAACTCATCTGTTAAGGAGCCTAGAGATGATGTCTATGTGTATGTAACATGAGTAGAGCATTCGGCGCGCTGGGCTTATTTGAAAACTTACCACGAAATCAATGTTGACTGGCTTGGACGACTGTAGGCCGAGTGAAGTCACTGCGCGACCCAAGCCGCAATATCCTGTTCGTTTCCATGCATCATTCCCTATGTGAGAGCCACCGCTAATTCACGTTAGTGGTGTCTTCTCGGCTTGCTACCATTGGGAGAGATCTCACATGGTGTGAACAAATTCAAAATGCTCAGTTTTGCTGAAATCATATTTTCCAAGCTTGGAAATGATATTCTCGTGCAGCGTGCTGGCTTTCAGGAAATAAACTAGATTTTCGTAAAAGCCAGTCTTGGGGACTTCGGAAGTTTTGTCGAGTCTTTGGGGGAGATCGATCAGAAAAGCAGACTGTTTCTCCTTGTCAGCAGCTTGATCCAATGAAGGCCCAGGTGAGTCCTACATTCTCCATGACGCCTCCCTTCTCACCCCAATCAAACGGTGTCAGGTTGGCGGTTGGAACCACGATCCGGAGATAGTCCTTGTGGAAAAGCAGCATCAACTTGGAGTGCATGCAGTTCACTTGCGGTTCCATAGGAGGAAAACATAATCTGAGGTTTTTCATGGCTTCTGTCTCCGACTCGTATTGACGCTTCTATGTCCAGGAACATGATCAATCTCCATTGAACAGAAGGGATACAGGGAGAAAGAACCCACTGTTGCATCATCCTTGGCCTGCATAATTAGCAAGAATAGAGAGTTTCGCGTATCAAGTTTGGAAAAGAGCCACTCCATATCCCACATGAAAGAGCTCAGAACCGCTAGCTCTAAGTTCGACCTTTGAAAAACTTCTTCGATTTTGATGTCATCACCGCGGCGCGGACTAGAATATGACCAAGTCTTCTTGACCACTCCAGCAGGGAACTGGACAAACGACTGAGGCGAGGGTATGTTAGTAGACGGCCTGCTAGCCTCTGGGCGTGTAATTTGTGGTTGGGGAGACGGATCAATCGCAGTTGAAAGCTTATCAAGATCCCTCTTCATTTGAGCCTTCGGAGATGTCTGGGTTCTCAACTGCTTCTTGTCGCGTTCCTCACACAATGGGGTATCTTCTGGTTTCCTTTTAGCAAGACGCGCGAGGCGTTCCTGCTCCATCTGCTTTCGATTCAAGCCAAGCACACCCATGGGTCTTGATATGTTTTGCTCGCTCGATGGGACGTGGGTTTGTTGAGATACAGCTGGTTTCGAGGCCTGCTCGTTGTCGGAAATGTACAGTGGGGACTCTGGCGAGCCTGGACCATGTCCGGAATCTTGCTTCGATAACGCGATTGCTCTCCTCAAGTCTTCATCATCGTCGTCATCATCATCATCACCATCACCATTACCTTCAACAGGATCAGCAGTCGATTCATTATCTGTATCAACACCAATCACGGAGTTTGACTTGGGCTGCGCGGGTACAGCTTCATCGTCATCGTCTGTATCGCCAGTCAAATCAACAATGCCACCTTGGTTCTCGTTGTCCCGAGTTTGCGAATCAGATCCATAGAAGTCTCTCAAAGAGGCAGCAATAGCTTCTCGGATATCGCGATCAATTTGGTCATCAGCACTTGTATCAGACATTGTGTCTTTCAGGAGAGAGATGAAAATAAAGAGATAGATAAATCACAAAGCGAAGATGAGGGAGGTGGGGGAAAGGGTAGATGATTTTGTAGTGAATGGAATGGATGATAAAAGTGAAAGCTCAAAATTTCAAGACTGTATCACGATTAGCCCCAAATGTTTGAAAACTTCACTTTTTGAGAAGGTTGCAGCTCCAAATACCTTTTCCAGGTCAGGACTTATTCGGGTAGAGCTGCTTATGTTTATTATGCGACCCTGAATTGAAGAAGCTCAAGGATCGTCTGTCCTCCGACTTGAGAGCAAGCTGTGTGCAATAAATATTAGGCAAGGTTTGGGATCACCATGGGCATGGACGAGACAGGGACGAGGGATGGGGGAGATGTTGACATGCTTGTACTGGATGTCAGTGAGACTATGTACATGTGCTGCACGTCACGTGCACACAGTCACGTGAACATTTGCGGACGTCGGGATTCTCCGTGAGTATAGAGTATGGACTGTGCATTGATATTGATCTACTTATTTTTCTCAATCCTATGTAGCCATAAATCATCCAAAATTACCATTCTACCTTACCAGACTTTGGTAGCCGTAATAGACACCAATCAAGACTATCTAGTTAGTCCCTGGCTTATGAACCACAACATGCAGTTCAGTTGTAATTAGTTTGATTACCAAGGACAAGAGTAATAGATAGGCAGCAGTAGCAAAGCCGTTTCTTTAACCCAGATCGGCCTAGTGCATTGTGTGTTGTGTGTTGGACGTACAGCTCTAAGCGCATGAGATCCCTCACTCAACCCCTCGCCTGACATCTTCACCCGGCAACCATTTCACAACCACCCTCTCACTTGGCAGTCCCTTGTAACTATCATCACATCATGGGGATTCTCGACTCCTGGATGGCGATGAGTGCCGTGCCTCAGGCAGAGGGTCCTCCGACTCCGAAAGAGGATGAGGCAAAAGATGCCCCAGAGAAGGACACAGGGATTGTCGTCCAGGTAGGTTCTCTGGAGCACCGTCAGAGTTTCGCGGCAATGGTCCAGGCGGATCTCGAAGCTGCTGCCGAAAGGAAAAGAAAGAAACCGGATACCTTATTTCACCGTCTTGATCCCTCCAATTCTGGGTGAGCTGTTGATAGATAGTCCGGTGTGATAATCTCAGCTGCTAATGCGACGCGACGAAACAGAGTCACAATTCAATTCCACCAGGAAAAGCACGACGAACTTCCCAACATGACTCGACTGGTGAAACATGACGCCAAGCCCAGCTACCATTACACAATTGTTTCCGAGGCAAGCAAAATGGTGAGAGAGCCCCTGATCGTTGGCAACCGTAACCTGCGCTGCAAACTCTTTTGGCTGCCTATTCAGGTCCGATTCAAGATATATGAGGCTTTCTTCATGCATGACCTCAGTGCTGTCGAAGTCGGCAGAGTCAGGAGCGTTAGATTGGCGAAACTGGCATTCCTCAGCACATGTCATACCATCTATCACGAATGCTCCATTGCCCTTTACCATTGTCTGAGTTACCGCACACTTTTCCTTAGAACATATGGTTCGTACTCTGCGGATTTCTTTCGACGCATACCTAGACCACTTAAATGCTGTCGCTGTGTGACCCACCATAAGTACCTCGAGTACCCTTGCCGCACTCCTCCCTCCATGTGGAAGAGATCGTATGAATCAATATTCCTCTTGCTGGGATCAGAAGACTTCAGAGTTGCTTTACAGCGCCGCTGGGCTTTCTCGGAATTCATCACAACTTTGAGAATGCGAGAGCCTCTGAAGGTCTATTCCTTGACCGTTGTCGTCAATGACAATTGGAAACTCCGTGGTTTTGACGAAAAAGACCTGGTTAAGGCCCTGTTTAGCGGCGCATTCGAGTTCCTTGGACAGTTGCGTTTCAGAGGTTTCAATGAGGAAGAGCGAAACACGCTGTGTCAGCTCGTGCATGGCCTGAGGATCCACACCGTCAGGATCGAGAGACCAAAGAAGAAGTACCAGGGAACTGGATTCGCGATTTGGATCTGTGAGTTCTTCTTTTCCGCCACTCTCTTCAGGTTGGGTCTCGATTTAAAGACATTGGAGTACAAGATCTATGATGGCGAAGAAAACATCCCTGTCTGGCTCGGCGGCTTCTAGGCCTAGCCCGACAACGAGAAGTCGATTTTCGTTGGGGGTCTTCGTCACAATGACACTTCCAATCTGACGAGCATAAAGCTGACCGATGGTTTCATGACTAGGAATCCGGCCTCCAAGTAGCGAGGTGGCAGTCAAGCTACTGATTGGCAGTAAACTGTCATCCGATGACTCTGAGAATGTGTGATGCCCTTCTGTCCCAGGATTCCGGTTTTCTAGCGGTACATGTAACTTTTATATTTGTTAGTTGAAAGCGAGGACGATGGTTTTGTGGAGGACATACCCAGTGACCTAGTCGACCTTTTTGTGAGACAGTCACTAGGATCCTATCACTAAAGTTCACACACATAACATCTGTTTGGATCCCATTAACAACCCCAGAGGCCTGTCTTGTGGCAGCAGGGTATGGAAGATTCAGCGATTCCTGAAACGAGTCAAGGTTGAAAGAATCAGTCATGGTGACAGATGTGTTGGAATGTCCCCGCACGTGTTCTTTTCCTGTTATTTTGCTGATGTTCTGCTGTTGTCGGGGGTGAAAAAAAGTTTTTGCGTGTCAAGTTATTCTCTTTCTTTTTTGTCTTTTTTGTGTTTTATTTGAATGGAATAACAATAATGACAGAAGGGTACAATGACTCCAAACAGACTCCCAGAGGTGAACTAAGAGTGCGACGGAGAAGCGTAGGAGAACAAGTGCGGGACGGACATCTGGTTACAATTCCCGGGCGGTGAAGCCATTCTCACCGCCTTCCAGCAGAATGTCTCCGCCGCCGGATATTTTTTCATTTCCTCCGCCTTCGTCAGTGAGGAACAAATCTCTGTTCTACAGTCCAATCTGGAGTTTGCTGCCTTTGTCTTCAGCTAGAGGCAGAGGTGTCCTGACTGTATATCACCATGCCCAAATTTGTACCCCGCCAACGAAAACAAAAGCACAAACAAAATGCTGCAACAACCAGCACCCCGGTGGACACCAATGCCGCGGAGGTATTGCCCGTCTCTAAAGGCGACAAGGAAGCAAAAAGACAGCAGCTGAGAGATGAATTGAGATCGCAACATACCAACATCTCCTCGAAGAAACAAAAACGGTTAGACAAATATATTGTAAGTGGATCAATAGGGCGAGCTGGATTCAATTATGATCTTCCCACTAACAAGCCGGACAGGAAACTAAACTCAAGAAAGAAGAGAACCTCGAGCTACTCAAGAAACTTGCGAAATCGAAGACCGATACCTCAGCATTTCAAAGCTCTAAAGAGCTCGGCAAGCGCAAAAGAAATGATGAGAGTGGTAGACCCTCGGCACCTACCGCTACTCATGAACGTGGCCCCGAGCTAGAGCAGTCGGACGACGACTCTGATGACTCGCTCCCCCCGTCAGGAGTGACAGTCATCGAAAAAATCCCTCAACCAGCAGGACCAAGCGGTAGTGGTCTGAAGCGCCCTCTGGAACTCGGTCCAGATGGCTTCCCAGTTCTCAAGAAGAGAAAACGGGCCCCCAAAGCGAAGCAGCCGGTAGTAGTTACACAAGATGTGCCATGGGAAGGTTTTGATTCCGATGACGAAGAGGATGAGGATGATGAGTCCGCATCTGACCTGGACGATGACGAGGATGAGGATGAGAACGACAACTCCGAAGAGTCAGGAACAAACAGCTCTGGGGAAGATGACAGTGAGGACGATGAGGACGATGACGACGACGAAGATGAAGACGAAGAGGAAAATGATAAACCGAAGCATCGTCAGTCTGCTTTCAAGACATGGGCAAGGCAGCAAATCAATGAAGCTGCAGGATTTCAACCTACGACGGGTCCCATTGTACATGAGGACCTACCAATTGTCCCCGAATCCACAAAGCCCGCCAAAAATACCGTTTATCAGGAGGAACCGCTGCCTCCAGAGCTCCAGGTAACCCAGGGCAACCCGTTCAGAAAGGCTTTCAGTGTTCCAGTCGAACGGACGGAGGAAATGCAGAATGCGCGCTTGGGACTACCGATCGTAGGCGAAGAACAGAAAATCATGGAAGCAATCTACAACAATTCTTCTATTGTAATTTGGGGAGCTACTGGTAGTGGAAAAACTACCCAGTTGCCCCAATTTTTGTTTGAAGCCGGTTTTGGTAACCCCGACAGCCCAAACCCCGGCATGATTGCAGTAACACAGCCTCGACGAGTTGCTGCTGTCAGTATGGCGAAACGAGTTGGTGATGAACTAGGCTCGTTTTCCGACCAAGTCTCATACCAGATTCGGTTCGAAAGCACCGTGTCGAAGAAGACGGCAATCAAGTTCATGACCGACGGTATTCTCATTCGAGAGATTGCCGAGGACTTTTCTCTGAGCAAATACTCTATCATTGTGATTGATGAAGCCCACGAACGGAGTGTCAACACTGATATCCTCATCGGTATGGTCAGCCGTATCGTCGATTTGCGGAAGAATATGAGTGAAGAGGACCCGTCTGTGAAGCCTCTCAAGCTTGTGGTCATGTCTGCGACTCTGCGTATCTCTGATTTCACACAGAATGCTAGTCTTTTCCGCCACGGAGCACCGCCCCTGGTGCAGGCGGAGGGCCGGCAATACCCTGTTACCGTGCACTTTTCCCGGCGGACCCACCGCGATTACGTTGAGGAATTGTATCGGAAAGTCTCGAGGGGTCACCGCAAGCTGCCTCCCGGAGGCATGCTGGTGTTCTTGACCGGACAGAACGAGATCAGGCAGCTTTCAAAGCGCCTGAAACAGGCCTTCAAACCTACCCAGCGGGGGGATGTTGCTCAAGCCAAGGTCCAGCTCTCAGCGAACGATGCACCACTTGAAGCGGAAGACTTGGACATAGGTGGAACGGATCTATCCAACCCCTGGAACGAGTATGACGACGACAGTGACATTGAGATCACCGGGTTGGATGACTCGGATATAGACGATGGGTTTGATATGGAAGAGGAAGCAATGGACTCGTCGACCCAGGTCCATGTGTTGCCTCTGTATTCGCAACTTCCCACGAAAGAACAGCTGAAGGTTTTCGAACCGCCCCCAGAGAACTCGCGACTCATTGTGTTGGCTACCAACGTAGCAGAGACCAGTCTTACAATCCCGGGCATCAAGTATGTCTTCGATTGCGGACGGGCCAAGGAGAAGCAGTACGATTTGGCCACGGGGGTGCAGAAGTTCCAAGTCGACTGGATCAGCAAGGCCAGCGCAAACCAAAGAGCTGGACGAGCTGGTAGAACTGGACCTGGTCACTGCTACCGACTCTACTCATCTGCGGTGTATGAAGGAGAGTTTGCCGAATATACCGATCCGGAAATTCTTCGGACACCCATCGAGGGAGTCGTCCTTCAGATGAAGAGCATGGGTCTTCACAATGTCATCAATTTCCCCTTCCCAACACCCCCAAGCCGCCAGGGTCTGGCAAAGGCCGAGAAGCTGCTGAAGAACCTCGGCGCGCTCTCCTCGCAAGGAAAGATTACCCAGATCGGAAATCGACTGTCCACCTATCCGTTGTCTCCCAGATTCGGCAAAATGCTGCACATCGGCCATCAGCACGGCTGTATGCCCTATGTCATCGCACTGGTTGCAGCCTTAGCCGTCGGCGATCTGTTCGTGCCAGAGAACCAGATCGATCCCACGCCCCCCAAGGACGATGACGAGCGCGGAATTTACACGAACTCGGATCGACTGGAAGACACCGCCAGGGAGCAGCGCCACAAGGACTACAACAGAGCCCATCGTCTGTTCAGCAAGCACGACGATACCGCCGACGCCCTCAAATATCTGTCTGCCATCTGTGCCTACGGCTATGCCTCCGACGGGGACGCGTTCTGCGACCAGATGTTCCTCCGGGCCAAGGCGTTCAAGGAAGCCACGCAGCTGCGCAGCCAATTGACCGACATCGTACGAACCAACAACCCGGGTCTCATTTCCGCGTACCAGGCCCGTCTCCCCGAGCCGTCGGAGAAGCAAGTCAAGGCGCTGAAACAGATCATCGCGGCCGGGTTCATCGACAACGTGGCCATCCGCGCAGACCTGGCCCCGGTGCCCCCGGAGATGGACCGAAAGCCGAAGCGAGCCATCGACGTCCCGTACTTCACTCTCTTCAGCTCGCGCGAAGGACCCGCGGTCGAACTGCAGGAGAAGGCGGTCTACGTGCACCCTTCGTCGCTGATGGCCAATCTCTCGCCGAAGGAGATGCCCCAGTACATCATTTACTCCCATCTACAGCAGTCGTCGCCGTCAATGGTATCCGAGCAGGCATCCAAGATCAGAATGTATCCTCTCGTCTCGCCGAGTGGTTTGCAACTCTCAGCCATTGCGCAGGGAACCCCTCTGATCGAATACGGTAAACCGATTGGAAACACCGAAGAGCTAGGCGGCGTTCCGCCTCGGCGCGCTTGCTGGGTGATTCCGTCGCTGGTGGGTGAGACTGGGCGCATGGGATGGCCGTTGCCGGCGAAGAAGGTGGTGCAAAAGAAAGATCCCAGGGAGGGATGGGTCATCGAGAAGCTCGGTACTTAGCTTGAGGTCCTGTATAAGGCATGCTTGAGTGTATTAGCAAGCAGGGGATTCTCTGTTATCTTCAAAAGTTGAATTGATACGAAACTATAAATATTACATTCGTTCGTCGCACTGTAAGATAGCTTCATGCTTAATCGATCGTAGTCATATCCATAGTAATTTTGTGGTTAAACATACATACAAGTTGATCCAAAGAAATGCAAATCAAGCCAACGATCCCCAGCAACGCCCAGGAACAAGACCCCATGAAGAGAATAACAACAAAGCAAGATAACCAAGATCAAAAATCAGCATAATAAACAGAATGAACTAAACTCAATACCTCTCACGATCCCACTCCCTCTTCTTCCCTTCCGAATCCCCGCCCCTGCGTCCACTCGACAACTCCCCCGTCTCCCGATCCTCCCTAATCCCCAAAGCCCTGCGCAGCCGCTCACTCTCCTCGATCTTGGCCTCCGCCTGCTCATGCACCTGATAAGATTTGAACTGGCGCCTCCCCTTCGGCGGCAAATCGCGTCCTCCTTTCCTCGAAGCCGGCTGCGACCCGCGCTGTTGTTCCTGCGCCTCATCCGCCTCCAACTCCTTGAGCAGTTTCTCGCGCAGCGCTTCGCACCGTTCATCGATTTCCTCGTCCGTTAGGATCTTCTTCTCCTTGTCCTCCCCACTCGTCTTCTCCTCCTCCTCACCATCTTCCTTCCCCTCCTTATCCTCCTGACCTCCCTGGTCCCCTTCCTCTTCTAACCGCTCATTCTCCTCCTCCAACCTCTCCCTCTCCTCCATAACCTTCACCTCAACGGCTCTCCGTCGATCATGTTCGAGGATCTGTCGATCCGGCATCCGTTGCTTAAAGGGCCGTCCTGGGTCCGTGGCGTTCGCGCCGGAGGACACGGGCGGATACGGCGCCCCGTAGCCCGCGGTGCGCGGCTTCATGAATGCGAAGTTGCGTTGCACGTATCCCGATGTGCCGCTACCGCGGGGGGTCGTGAGGCCGACGTTCGAGGACATTTTCTGTTGATTCGTTTCACTCGTTTGGGCTCTGTGGTTTATCGGCTGTTGGTTTGGATTGAGATGAGAGGTGAGGTTGGTTTATTGGTTGGTTGTGGTTGGAGCGTAGTGTGTAGAGTGGTGGAGGTCTGATGAAGATAGCGGTTCGTGGTTGTGGGGGTAGGATGAATGTTGGAGAGTGTATGATAGAGTAGTGGGTGTATCAGCAGTATTGATGATATTAGAGAATGTTCCTAGGGTGTGATTCAGCGAGGTTGGAGGCCCTCGCGCAAGGTAGTGAGGAGAGGAAGAATTAATTGGAGACGACGGATAAAGACGAGGACATCACGTGGTGATAAGGACTGATAAGAAATGGTTATCAAGAGGATATCGCAACTTCTTACTCTACGTCTACACTCTTCAGATTCTTACGAGTTCCGTCCACTAAAACATTAAACATTCATTCGTTCATAGCAATGATGAGTGGGAATAACGAATTAAGCAAGAAAAAGCAACTATCGACAGCAATTTGGGCAAAAGGTACAGCAGCGTGTGGTGGGGTTCAGGTGGCTGTATACCGAATTTGAAGCAAACAAAGCATTCTAGATGCTCCAAGCAATTCCCATTTTTCTTTCCCTAATTCCGGATTCGTCCCATATGTTCAAGGTCTCGAATCTTTGCGACCTCTGCAGGTCAAAGAAGCGTGGAATCCCGGTATCCTTTGTTCAACCAATTAAGACGCCGACCCTCATAGTTTGAACAAGAAGCAAAGAACAGAACGATCAACGACTAGGGAGGCGTGGCTTCATTTTCGTAACATTGAAACTTCCGACAAAAACGTTGAAGAAGAGAAGACCATTGACAAATTAAAAAAGTAGCAAAGTTTCAAGACAAAGGGAGGGGGAGGGAAGTGATAGGGACATGAAAGAAATAAACAGAAGAATAGAAAGAAAAAAGACAGCAGAAGAAACAAGTATAGAGATTGAGCAAACCCCCATCCCTCCCGCCATGATACCATTTGCTTTTTACGCCGTCATGCCCGTGAAAGAAAAGAAAAAGGCAGAAAAAAAGTAATTAACCTCGAAGACTCATACCCCTCAGAAGACCTGTATGTATACGCTTGGATTAAAAATGAACTGATTGAAGGGGTGGTGTGGGAGAAAGGAGAATAGTAGAGTGAAAGGATAAATAGAAAGCCATAAAAAAATTTGGACAGGAGAAACAAAGAAAGAGTAGTGTGACGTTCGCCTTTGATTTTAGGTGGTGCCGTTGGTGGTGGCCGACGGGGCCGGCATGGCATCAGCCGACTCGGACTCGGCCAAAGGAGTAACGATGCTTCTGGCAACACTCTTGGGTTCGGTCGATCCGTCGACATTGGCTTGAGTGTCGGTGGGAGGTGGCGTAGGCGGTGCCGCCCCGACAACTGGGCCCCGACCACTCTCGGATCCATTCACAGAGCGTTTGGATGGCTGAGGAGAGGATTTGTGCGAGTTGGGGGGTGTGGTGGATGACGAGGTATGACTGGCATGGGCCGGGGGAGGAACGCCACCGGAGGGATATACTAATTTTTCGATGGCGGCAATTTGCTTGCCATAGCTGTATTTTTTCAACCCCGCAAGTAGGGGCCGAATCTGCTCGGCGAGAGTCTCCCTCTCTTCGCCTTTCAGCTTGCTCAATACCTTTTCTGAACGAGGGTCAGCGATAGGGGAATTGAATACGGGGGAGGACCGAAGGGTCACTTACGTATGACATAGTTGCCATACTGATCACGGATCAGTGCAGGCAGAGGACTTTCCGCTCTGTCGTTGGTCTGCGTGAGCATACCAATGATGTGACAGCGTTGGCCTTCTTCGCCAAACTCGATACTTTTTTCGACCACGTTACTGGCAAACTTATGCTTCGAATGAGACATAAGGTTCGAAATGACAATGTTGATCATTGCGGAACGATCTTTCTCCTCGCCGTGCTCGATAACATGTTGAATCACATAGTTTCCGAACTGGTCGGGAATGAGTTTGACCGTGCAGGCGTGCAACTCTGAAAGAATTTGTTCGCGGTCCACCTGCTTGCAATGTTCAAGCATCCGCTGGATAACACGGCATCCATAAGGATGGGTGGCAAGTTTCTCCACGCTACCGATAAAGGCATCAATGATGAAGTGTACATGCTCGGATGGAACCCGTTCAATGGCCTTCTGAACCACATGGTTTCCATTTTGGTCTCGAACACAGCGAAGAACATTGTTTTCGAGTTCCTTAACCATGGTTGCTTGCTGATCGGTAAGAATGTGTTCCAATGCCTACTCTGATGTCAGTAAATTGGGATCCTCAGGAGCCCAACATTGAGAAGGTCTTACCTTTTGAACGACACGACATCCATACATCTGAAGAGACAGACTCAGAATATGTCCCTTCATCTGATTAGCTAGAACCTTCTTTTGAGTCTGGTTGCCATGTTCAAAAAGTTTTTGTACAACGTAGTTGCCAAAAACATCGGTCATCAGTTGCAGTGCGTTGCTTTGGATTTCCCGGAACACCATCTCCTTTTCGTCACTGTTGGCGGTCTCGAGCTTTTGCTGGATAAAGCGAGATCCATGTTGATCTCCACTGAATTCGACAACATAACCATATATATCCTGTGGGCAATTGTCAGGCATCGAACAGTGTTTTCAGCGGGATGTTGGGGGGGGGGGGGTTACCTTCAATTCGTATCGCTTGTTACCCTTGCTATTGCTGCGGAACTCCTCCAGCACCTGACTCCTGGTTGCCTGCGCAAGGTCCGGTTCACGGAGACCCCTAGAAGCAAGAGCCGCCACATTTGCATGAGCTGCCGGGCCGTAGAGAGCAGGCACTCCCTGGAGTCCTGAGGTTTGATAGCGTGAAACGTCATACCCACCATGAAAAGCCATCCGTTGCAACGGATTAACATTTGCCGCAGCGACATCCTGTTCCGCGGCCATTCCCCGCAATCGTCGGTCGTACGTAGCGGTTTGGTGGTCGGACAGGCGCCCCCCGGAGGCATTTCGATAATGCGGGGCAGAGAGTTCCGGGTGGAAGGGGCTTTCCATACGGGCGTAATCGGTAGGCGAGATCGGGTCCCCGAATCGGGGACGCGCCGTTGAATACGCCAGTGACAGGTCCGACGGGGCTTCATTTGGATAAGCCGGGTAGTTGCTCTGCTCAGTCGAAGTCTGGTATCTGAGTCGTTGAAGAGAACCATCAAAGGAGGGATGAGACATGTAGGCAGGCCGGTTTCCCGCACTGTGAGCCCCCAAGTTGTTATCATTGAGTTGCAATTTGTTGAGACCGGCGTTAAGATCGACGGAGTGACTACTGTACCGCCCTTCAAACCCTTGGCTCTCCGAGTGGAACGAGGGAAACGATGAGTGAGGTGGTCTAGCGGGGGCAAATGAAGCAGAATTGGAAGAGGCGTGTGCATATACATTGCGCCCCAATGACTGGGCCGCGGTATCCGGCAGCGTCTGAGGAAGAGAGGCCATCGCCACCGAGGCCGACATCCCATCGGATGCCGTGCTGTCAAGCGGACTAGACAATCCATTTCGGATGGGGAACCCGCTGCCGACAGGACTACCTCCGAAGGCGGAGGATGTGTTGGCGTGACGTCTAGCTTCAGGTCTGAAGCCACCGATAGTTCCAAGAGACATCCCGTCTCCGGACGGAGAAATCCCCTCCGACCCCGTGTTTAAATAAACCTTGTGGGTAGGTGCTCCTCCGGATGACCTCTGTAGAGAGAAATAAGATGAATCGGCCGTCTCGGGGAGGACAGCTGCGCTTCGATCAGAAGCTCGGGTTTGGATCGGGGATGTGGTCATGCCAGGGTTTGCCGTTCTGGATAAACCGGCCGAGGCGGGTTTCATGGTGCTCCAAGGAAGGTTGGGGCGAGCATTCCAGCCATCGGATTCCGAGGAAGACAATAAAGAGCTCGAACCTGCTTTAGCGTCTGATCCACCGTCTGCGACATGTTGGTCTGCGCGGGAGGCGTTAGTCCCTATGTATTCAACGAGGTTCATATTTTTTCTTACCTCCCAAATTATCTCCCCAGATAGTGTTATTCCAACTCGCTTGACTACCGAAGCCTTGGCCCATGTTTGTGGCGGGCGCTCGCGTTCTATCATTGCTCATGTTGGATGTTCGGTTCGATCGCACCTGATAGACATCTGTCAGTCGAGAAATCACCCGATTCGTTCAGCATTGCCAAAGCTCACATTATGTACTGGTCTTGTATGTTGTGCCATCACGGTCATTCCACCAGTCGCTTGGACGGGCGGTAACAATAGATAACTTGAATCCTCTACCAGATCGAGAGGAGCTGTTTAATCGTCCAAGGATTGATAATTTTATGGAATACGATCGACAGTCTTTGGTCTGGGTTCTCGAGTTTACTTTTAACGATTTTGACAGCGTGGGATAGTGTGGCGCCGAAGGAGGCACGAGGTAGAGGAAAGGGATTCAACTGCTAAAGGACCAGCCAAAGGGTTAGCAAGTTTCTCAACAGTCCCGGGTTGTGCGAGTAGGAAAACCGGGAACTCACCAAGGAACCTGTGCGGAAGACACAAAAAAAAAATTCCAAGTCAAAAAGGGATGGATGTTCGGGCGGGGAAAAAGAATTATGTTGTCGGTTCCCTTTATTTTTTATTTTTTTTCGTTTTGTACGTTGTAATGCGGTCAGGCACTGTACAAACTGTACAAGGGATCGAAGGGGTTGGCGAAAGGGAGGAAGATGGACAGCGAAAAAGAAACGAAAAATGCTGAACAGCGAAGGAGGGCAAGTGGGAGCAGATGCAAGGTGACAAGAAATGGATGATCTCTCTTTCGTTTGCCAGCGTGAAAATGCTCAGTAGGAAGCCGTGGATCGTAATTGTCAATGTGCGTCGCGACGTTACTACACTCCGTGCATGCTCCAGGAAGCTCGAATCTCGCAGATCACCCTCATGTGCCGTGTGGAGAAGTCGAGGCAGAGGTGGGCAGGGGGGGGGACGAAGGCGATGAATCAGACCAGCGTTGAGCAAGCTTGGATGATAGGACGCAGCAAGGGGGAGGGGGGTGGTGGAAAGGGTCGTGAAATTTGCAGCTGGTATCGACAGGAATGTGCTTGTTGCGCAAATGGAGAAGGCGGATGATCCGACGTGATTAGTGGAGCATCGAAGGATGGGAATGCGGAAGAGAAACAAAGCACGGCATTAACGAAATCCAGCTGTGACACAGACGAAATCAGGCATGACACCCCAGAGTGGCTCGGGGTAGATCAATCTTAAATCGCGAATCTTGACCAGCCTCCACGGTGGGGAGGAAGAGGGTTATCGGGAGAGATGAGTCGGGATGCAGAAAGGACAAGGGAAGAAAAAAAAAAATATGATCAGGGACGGGGAGGGCAGTAATAAATATCGAGTAATAGATATCACACAGCGGTATCAAATAGTCAGTCAACCCTGGATGGGTGAGGATTGACCGGGGAAGAGAAGGGAGATTTTGTTGAATAAAAAAAAAAATTGAACAGAGGGAGCGGGTTGCACAGAAGGGGAAGTGCTCGACAAGACCTCGAGAGGGAGGATGGGAGGGATATATATGACGAAAAGTAAGGAAGGGGAGGGAATGAAAAAAAAAAAAAAAAGGCAGAAGAAAAAGAGAAGTTTAAAAAGAAAAGAAAACGTCGAAAGCGAAAGGGAGGGGGGGAAAGAAATATGAGGTCTTTGCAACGGAATGAGGACGTCGATGATAGAGATAAGCTGGGAAGGTTGAGCTGGAAAAAAGATGCTGCGTGTCGCAGCAAGAAGGACCGCCAACCTAAAAAAAAAATTAAAGAATCCAAAAATCCAAAAATCCAAAAAAGAAAAGAAAAAAGAAAAGAAAAACCAAGGGCATTACGACTCGGTGACAATACCGCAGTGATCGGCCGCATCCATGGATTGTCGATCTTGTCGCCTCAGGACTCTCAGGTACTTCGACACAGTATGAGTGTTGCACCCATAGGGAAGGTACCGCCCAGCCTCGGGGGACATTGCATACCGTACGTACGGTAAACTCGGGACCCGCCAAATCTCTCTGGCGCCCGCCGCTTCTTTTTAGGCGGCCCCTCTGATCACCTCGTTTGATTTGTTCCTTTCGACTGGTTGCAACACCGTCTTCTTCCCCAGGGTCGAGTTAGTTGCCTACATCGCTATAGCCATGGGACTGCTCCTCACTCTAGGTTTAGCTATACCCTGGTCGATTTCGCTCTCGCTCCCCCCGATGACTCCCAACAATTGATGCTTACATGTAGATTGTTTTTTTTTTTCCCTTTATTTCTCTAGTCTCACGAGCCAAGTCGGAGAAGGAAGCTTGGTTATCCACAGGAAATACCAAAGATGAAAATCCTTGGTTTGGATCAGTGTCGCAGCGCTTCTTTTTACGTCATTCGCTTGCATATCATATGGAAGTACCTAGTTATAAACCTACACCGTAGTGTTGAGCCCCTGTGCGAGCGAGCGTCATAATGGCCGCTACTCGGACTTGATTTCCTAACCAGCAGACTCCCTCGACCTCTTATACTTTCGAGATGCCATTCCGACCGAGATCGAGTGCGGGATTCCATTTCCGCACAGTCACTTGCCCGGTGACGTTCCAGATCATTGCATCGTATGATCTTGTGAACTTACATGACAGCCTGGAGGGGAGCAATCCTCAGTCAACGGTCCAGTTCGCAGAAAGTTAAGTTACGCTCCAGCCCGACCGATCGGATCCACTAAACTAGCTCGCAAGATTTTCTTCATGGAAATTAATCGTAACTAACGTACCTACCATCCAAGTTGATGCGGCTAATTCCGCTTAGAGGAGGATAACATGGCCATCGTGGACAGTACAGTAGTAGTGATTCCATTCCATCAGTATCTCCCGACGTATTAAAGATCAGACCGAAACGATGACATGTTTTCTGGGTTGTCAGAAGCAGTCGCTGAAATTTCTGACAGGCTAACAAACTAACAAACAAAAGGTGCAGGGAAGACGGGAGAAAATTGGAAAAACAAAAAACAACATAAGCTCGACAAACAAGTGGCAGGTCTTGGCTGCCTCTCCGGCCGTCCCTTTCCCTCTACATACCGCATCCATGGACCGACAACAATTCCACCCAATCCGCTTGATACCCTCTTCTTCGACATTTCTGTCATGCCGGCAATCACGCTAGATGTTTCCCATTTAAGATGCTATGTACTTCTTCCTGGGGGTTTGGTATGCATTGGCAATATGTGTCTCCCCAGGCTGGCTCCTTGCTTTTCGAAGAACAACGGTGATTAAGGTTTCATCCGCCTTGCCTTTTCAACCGGCTGGGGACTACCAACCCGCTCTGAATCCCCCGTGGCCCGATGCTTCCTCTACCTCCCCTCTTTGCTCTACGCATTGAACCCATTCCCAACCAACTTACTTTAGATCACTAACGACATTGAGAGTATTCAGGTTGTTCTTTCTAGACTAGACCCCGGTCTATATTATAAGTCAGTCGTGCATACCACATCCTCCACGCCACATTTGATCATTTCTCAAAGCGTGCGGATAATGTTTCCACCTCCGCCGGTTCTTGCCTCCCTACATCGAAAATCTGCCGGCAGGAATTACTCGTGTCGAGGACTTAGCTGTTGACATACCAAATCTACATCATAAATCTGGTGTGATTGGTTGAGGAGCCTACCACCAGTACTCCGTAGGTAAGGGTCCTGAGGAGACTATGCCGCCTGCTGCTTCGCAACCATCAACAGTGGCATTTACATGCAGAAAAGTGGAAATTTCACCAGGTACAACGGGGACCAATACTTCGGCTCGTGGTAGTTTGAGTACCGCATACATCACGGGTCTTTCTTATCTGCTGTCGTTGTTGTGTTGTTCGCTCCACAGAGGCAGAGAAAGACACTCCAACGCAGGTTCTCACATCTCACATCTCACCTGAAATTAAGGATACCCAACGTTACACATATCAATTTAGAAAATTAAAAAATGAACAATCTGTTCAGAACAAAGAAGAACCGGAAGAAGAGAAAACTCAAAGGTTGATTCTTCAGTCCAGGAATACTTTCGGCCGGACCAAGTAACAACTTATCGTATTGCCTACCATCTACCTGACGGTGGGTGAAGTATACCTTACCCCAACGTTCAAAATAGAACATTCAGACTTGTATGTATGTACCATAGACGACAACTAGGGGAAAGTCTAGTGGTCACTCCACGGGGTTGATCTACGCGCAGGATTCGCAGCCGTAGGCGGTCATTTCCATCCACGAAATTCGGACGTCATATATCAAAAACTTAGGCTAGAACCCCGCCCATGGCAATACTTCCGGCTGACCAGACAAAATATTCCTTCCACAAGTTACCTCATTCAGATGAGTCAAGTTTACTGTGTACGTGGCCTTTGATATACGTCCATGGCTAGTAGTGACCATGCCATGGGTTTTATTTTCTAGCCATCTAACCAGAAGTCATGATGAAATAAAGTAAATTTTTCAAAAAAAAAAAAAAAAAAATTAAGTTTGACTAATTTAAAAGTCCCGACCACTTTAGTGAGATCATTTGTGTTTTCATCAAAAGAAGTGAGGTTGTTGAGATTTTAATGATAGTCTTCTTTTGGCTTGTGGTGTCCGGGATTTTCATGTGATGACGGGTAAGTAAGAGCAATTCGGAGCGTTAATGGAAGGTGCTCTCTTCTTTAATGAAATAAAATGTAGACAGAGATCCTGATTGGTTTATTCTACATAATAGTTGCCTTTTGATCGCATCATCTGTGGGTTGGAAGAGTGCGCTGATATATATAGCCGCAACAGCCTGTACTTAGTTATATAAGACACACAAAACACTGTTCAGGATAGCCAAACTGACCAGGATTGATGAAAACCCTGAAACACGACGCAGTCAGCTGAAGATGTGGTTTTCCCTTTTTCTGGCCTGGGGTATAATCTTCACGTGAAGACCAGGCTGCAAAGTGCTGCAGCGCCTACAGGCTCCCCTGACCAGAACCAAGGAAAGTAGGCCTTAATTCTCAGTGATATGAACACGTTGATGTCCAGGTAGCCCTTATCCAATGACTGATGTTTAACTACGGGTAATTAGATTATTACATCTACACAGCGCTCGATCATACTGGATAGTACATATAGCAGTCTTGTTAGCGATAAATGCCAATTGCAAATATTCCGGCAGTATGCATAGCGGCCCTGTCTCAGAATCGGATATATACGATCAATCCAACTCGACCAAGATCCTCCTGCAGATAACTTCGAAAATCGATGGATATCGGATATCACCAGTTTAATCTGCGAGCCCTTTATTGAATCTGATCTCTGCCGGGATATCAGGCCTACAACCCCACCGTGAGGTCATCGAAGTGGGAGGGAGATCGATGTAGGTTTTTACCGAAAAGGGGCAAAACAGGGACAATCGAGCCGTTCTTTTTCGAGTCGGAGCGTCGTTCATGTATGGGATACATTGCGATCTTTGATATTGGTATGTAGTTCCTGGGTTCCCACCGCCTGGCTGAGCGGATCTATGGATCTCTATTCTACTTCGTACGAAGCGACTACCACCCACGGCTTTTAACGAAGAAGATGAGACCATGACATGTCCGACTCTTCCCACTTTCGCACTTTTCAGGGGCCGAAAGTGCCAAAAAAAGAAAAGGCCCAAAAAGCAAAAAGGCCGAAGGGTGGAGCCACGATGGACAAAAGGGGATTAAGCTAACAGGCGGGCGACAGGGATGACAGCGAATAGGCGGAGGGCGGATGGGGCGGACGAACGGCGCTCTCAGGCACCGCCGCCCCCTGATAGGCGGGCGAGCCGTTGCCAGGGCGGGCTAACCGAGCTGGGTCAAGTTAGACTTCAGTGGCGCCAGCACCGGGCGAACTGCCAAGGTCCACTGCAGGAGGAAATCAACAAACAACGCGGCGTGCGGTGGATTCTCACTTGCAGCTAGTGCCGGCTTAGTGCCTGCTTAGCGCCCTCGACTCAGCCCGCTATGCACCCTTGCTGGCCGTTCGCTCGAGGTTCTGGCCCTGAGGACTCAGTTGTAGGCGCCCTTGCGCCTCGTTCCTGTCGTGCCGGTTGGTCGACCCGTGGACTGCCCGTCTCCTCTGGCCCTGGGGCCCTGCACGCTAACTCTACTCCTCTTCCCTCCTCCTCCCTTCCTTCCATCTCACTCTCTCTTTTCCTTCTTTTCTTCCTTTCCCTTCCTTTCCTTCCTCATTCCCCGGACGGCCCATTCCAACCCCTCTCTCATTCTTGCGCCCTCCTCTCCTCGTCACGATCTTTCTATCCCAAGCAGGTGTCGGCTTCACTCTTTCAGCTGTTCGCCTTGCTGTCCGTTCTTTCCTGTCCTAGCCTGGTCGATTCACTCGAGATTTTCCTGACCCATTTCGTCCGACTGACTGACTCTTGTCTGACCTGATACGTTCTCTATCCTTCGAACATAACAATAGCAACCAAATCCTTCATTCGTGTTCTATTGCACTATTACTCCTTGTTTTTGGACGCCTTCGATCCCCCTGCTGGAACTTTGGTGTAAGTAGTGGTCCTTTTTCAGCTCAAGGGTACATCGGTTGTTAACGCGATACAGTAACGACTTCAATCCTTGACTTAATATTTTCGCCCTTGTCAATAGACATTTATCATATCCACTTCCAAGTACAAATTTTTTGAAAGAAAGCGAACTCGCCTGCCAAACATGTTGAACTTGTTCTCTAAACGACTGGTCGTTCGTGACGACAGCGACGAAGGCCTGTCTTCTGCTATGATCGATCTTTTGATTTCGCTTCTGGTTCTCGTTCTACTCGGCTTAGCCCTCGTTGGTGCTCTCCTGGTCCTGCGTCGCAAGCGCCTCAACCAGGAACAATCCCAACTTCCCGTACACAACGGACAATGTGCACCTCAACACCGCCGCCTGACGATTTCCGCCCCGCCATATGCTAAGACCGAGTCCGTCCTGGTCTACGACGAGAAGCGCAGCCTCATTGAGAATTCATCGAGTCCCCCGCCGAGTCCCGTTCCCGAAATCCGCATTACTTTCCCCGAGGAGGAAGATGAGTCCGGAAAGCGCAAGTCGGGACGTGTTGTGGTTGTCAGAATTAGCGAAGCTGGGGGTGTTGGCCTGGAACCTTGCCACGAGGACCTTCCACCGTACCAGTCCAGTGATGCCGAGCGCTTCCAGTCTTTGGATATCGAGCGCATGGGGGGACTCAAAGAGAAGGGGGATGCGCCTAGATGGTCTTGAAATGCCAGCCGTTCCAATCCAGCAACCGTTGGCGACCTGATCTTCTGTCCATCGATACCCTTCTATCATCCGATCGCTCCTCGACCTTGTTTTCCGACGACCACAAAAACATGACGACTCTGGCGAAGCTTTACTTCGAATCTCAGTATTATATTTGAGTTTTTGCTTTTCTCTTCTTTTCGCGACTTGCACATATGCAGTTATCCGTTCTGTCGAGTCACCCTGGGCCATTCATGCCCGTGGTTGCTGATATCGCTGTTTTTTTATGGTCATTTCTCTTCCTGCAATCCATACGAAGATTGAACTAAAGGCATCCTGCGGCAGAATTGTGTATAGCAAAGGGCTGCTGGTTAATCTAGGGAGACTTTCCGAGAGTCTCCTTATTTTTATTTTTATTTTTCTTTTGGTTCCTGTTTGCCCCCTTTCCTTTCAATAGCGTTCTTTTCTTGTGCTTGGTCACCCCTGGCTCTTTCTTCCCTGTTATGTCCCTAGGGCTGAAGAGTGTTATGTCCGCGGTCTGTTGTATCGACATTTTCCTCTTTTTTCCTTCTACTAACCCTTTTTTCTTTCTTGTTGTATTATTTCTTTGTCTGCTATTTTCTTTGATTCTTTCTTACCCTCACCCTTACAATTCTCGGGTTTGCCTTTAGAGTACCTTACAGCTGGATAATGTATGTAACTAGTCTGACTTGACATTGCACGGCTACTTTTCAGTAAGCCTCAATGAACTTGTTTATTCGTACATCATCAATGAAAGTTTATGACGTTATTTCCTGCCTCCTTTCTCTACCTCTCGGTCTTGTTGCAGCAAATGATCTGCTGGCCTATTTTGCCGACATGAAGCGTAGGTAGACTATGGGGGTTACAATTTACATCCCGCTTGAAAGCAGCCGTTCTTTGTTCACCCAACCCCTTTTCATGGCTGATAGGTAGTGTAATTAATTCCGAGGAATGTCTATCTTAGTACCCTATTTCTTCAACCTGTCTCATAACACTGATGGCATATAATAGTTTATAATATCATAATCCGTATAGTCCCAAGCCGACGAGGTAAACAGTTGTCCCTTTTCAGACGAGCCCCACTCCCGCAGGGTTCTGGATGTTCCGTGCCGCGCCCGCCAATTACCGCTCTGGAATTGGCCCATTGCTCTGCCGAAAGCGCCGAATCCCCGACGTCACGGGGCTTTCATCGATGCTTTTTTGTTCGCGCCCACAGCTCTCCCACTTCCTTCTCAATAATTTGCGACTCATTCTGGGACTCGATACCTCTTCATGTGCGCCATTGGGTTTCCCGCTGGGACAATGTCTGCGCTGTGAATCCAAGTGAACCCCGCAGGTCATCAAGGTTTTTGGACTAGGCGTTTTTTTCAATCTCGCCTTTTCTTTTCTCTGGAGGAAGCGACTAATTTCACCCACCTCTTGTCCCCTATTCATTTTCTATTTTCTTCTAATACAATTCGTCCTCCATTACGAGGAGCTCCCTGGTATACGACGGAAACCGACAATTCTTCAGTCTCTCATTAGATGAACAGCTCTTTGACAACTTAGGAATACATCCTCCCCTCCGTGATGGTTTCGGCAACAAGCCCGGGGCAGGGAAGTCCCAACCCTAATGCCTCTCCTCGAACCTCGTCGCCACAAGCCTCGGGGCGCAATGACTCTCGAAAAGGACCTGTATCGAAGGCGCTGTCAGGGGGGAAGGGGAACAATTTGCAGGAGGCGCGAAACAGTCTATTGGAAACGGAGTTCAAACTCAAACACTTCGGTCTGCTGGGTGTGCTAGGATGGATCCTGTGAGCTACCACTGCAGATGCTGCAGCTCATTTCAGTTTGACAGAAAACCATGCTGACGGGCTGGGTACAATGTAGGCTCCTACACGTTGCTGGGATTTTTTTCTTCACCAAGGGCTTCCTCCTGACGCGAATGGTTCTCGAAAATAAGTCGTCCTGCGACCTGCTTCCGTTTGACGATGCGCTACCAAATGTAAAAGCGGGCAAGGGAGGTGATGGATGCTGGCACCCCAAATCTTTCGACAAGGCTATTGTCATCATCATTGATGCTTTGCGTTACGACTTTACGGTCCCATTCGCGCCGACTCCCGAGAGTGAAGAGGCAAATCTGTTCCACGACAATATCCCCGTTTTGCATGAAACGGCCGTCAACACACCGGAGAACGCTTTCCTGCTACCCTTCATCGCCGACCCGCCGACAACAACGCTGCAGCGTCTTAAGGGCTTGACAACCGGAACCCTGCCGACTTTTGTGGACGCTGGCTCAAATTTCGATGGGACGGCAATTGACGAAGATAACATTGTCGCGCAGCTTCGCGCAGCCGGAAAGAACCTGGTCCAGCTCGGCGATGACACCTGGCACTCGCTTTTCCCGGGTTATTTCGACGCCAACCTCACCAAGCCGTTTGACTCGTTCAATGTGTGGGATCTACACACGGTTGACAATGGCGTGACTGAGAACCTGTTCCCTCTCTTACACCCGGCGAATTCTACCAAGTGGGACGTTGTCTTTGGTCACTACTTGGGCGTCGACCATGCTGGCCACCGTTACGGTCCCAACCATCCGGCGATGGCCGCCAAACTCAGGCAGATGGATCAAGTCATTCGGGATCTCATTGCTAAGATCGACGACAGCACGCTTTTGGTAGTGATGGGCGACCATGGAATGGACTCGAAGGGAGACCACGGAGGTGAATCGAATGACGAGGTAGATGCGGCTCTATGGATGTATTCGAAGCAAAAGAAGTTCGGTCGCACGAGCCCGGACACTGCCATGCCGCCCAAATATGCTCGAGAGCGTTTCGTTCCGCAGATCGATCTCGTCCCAACAATCTCGCTTCTCCTTGGTATGCCGATCCCATTTAACAACTTGGGTTCCCCAATTGAAGAGGCCTTCGCTGGTCCTGGTGGAAATGACTGGAAGAATCTTGTGACTGTCAACCGCTTGGCTTCCGCCCAGATCAAAAGGTATCAGCATGAGTATACGCAATCTCGGAGCGCCAACGATAGCGAAGGGTTTCTTTCGCTGAAACTCTGGGAAGCCGCGGAAGCCGAGTGGAAAAATTTGCCGAGGTTTGGCAAATCGAGTGCGGATACACTGCGTCCTGTCTACGATTCGTTTAGGCAGTATCAGCGAAGAACTCTCGATATCTGCCGCGATCTTTGGGCCAAATTTGATGTGCCAAGTATGATCCAAGGTGTTGTGATTCTTTTCGCCGCAGTAGTCCTGCTTGTGTTCTATGCGCGAGGCTTGAAGGTGGACCGGACTGATCTCACCATTTCTTTGCTCTCATCTGCTGGAATTGGCTCTGCAATTGGCGCTGTTATTGGCGCATGCCTAGCCGTCTCGGGCATCATGGAATCGCCTCTAGTCGAGGCGTCGGCCTTGTTCGCTGCCGCCGGTAGCATTGTTACTGCTTTGTGGGCAATGTTCATTAAGCCGGAGCGTCTGGCGCTTCCTCTGCCAAATTCTTTGTGGGGATGGCTCGCCGTCATTTTCACGGTCAGCCAGTCAGTCGGGTTTGCGTCCAATTCATACACCATTTGGGAAGATGAGATTCTTCTATTTTTCCTCACCACTTTTGGTGTGCTTGCTGGTGTGTCTTCTATGCGGCAAAAGTCCACCACCGACAGGGTCTTGGGCGTTTACCATTCCATCCTCTTCGTTGCCCTAGGAAGAATAGCCTCACTATCTCGCCTTTGTCGTGAAGAACAGATGCCATTCTGTCGCTCCACGTATTACGCTTCGTCTACTTCCTCCACATCTGCTCCATGGCAACTTGCTATCCCATTCATAGTCACACTGGTACTTCCCACAGTCGTCAGATCCTTCTACGTTGCATCGAAATCCTATGAAGGTGCTGCCTCTCTGTGGATTGGGTTTGGTTTCCGACTGGGCCTATTTGTCGCCTCAGTCTTTTGGGCGTTCGAGGGCGCAGATGACGGCGAGTGGCTCTCCTTGAGCAAGGAGACCCTGAAGTCGATTAGAGTATCCCTAGCACAGCTTGTTCTGGCGATTGCATTCGCAGCCGGAACGACTGCATTCATTTACTCGAAGCCGTGCATCAGCATCAGTGTCAGCAAAGGCAACTCTGATTCTGACGCTCCTTCGTCTGCCCAGCAAGCGCCTAGGACCACCGTCACAATCCTGGGCTTTGGCAACGTTTACGGAACGCGATTCTTCCTTCTCGTCGTTAACTTCTGCTTGGGCATTGCCCTTATGCAGAAGCCCATGGGACAAGGTGCAATCGGCCTGTTACTCTGGCAGATCCTTTCGCTCCTCGAAATCCTCGACACGAACGCACTGGTCATGGGCAACTCCGCCATCGGACCCATCGTCCTCGCCCTTCTCGGGTCCTTCTATTACTTCAAGACCGGCCACCAGGCCGTCCTCAGCAGCATTCAATGGGAAACGGCCTTCATCCCCCTTTCAACCATCAAATACCCCTGGTCCCCCATTCTTGTGGTCCTGAATACCTTTGGTGCACAGATCCTCACCGCTGTCGCCGTCCCTCTCACCGTCCTTTGGAAGCGACCTCTCCAACTCACAGACCAGTCCGGATCTCCTTCAAAATCCTCAAACCCCGCCATCAAGATCCTTTCCAGCGTCATCCAAGCGGCCTGCACCTACATTCTTTACTTCGCCACCATCAACCTGGCCACCACCATGTGGGCCGGCCATCTCCGTCGCCATCTCATGCTCTATCGCATTTTCTGCCCTCGTTTCATGATGGGTGCTGCTGTGCTCGGCGTCGTGGACATCGTCCTCATTTTATTCTCTGTGGCTGGCGCCCGATTCAGCACCCTCAGCGTCGGTGAAATCTTCGGATGGTAAACCTGGAGATATAGGTGGGATGGCAAGGGATTGCTCAAGTCGGTCAATCCGATCCAAATGGAGTTTCCCGAATCCTACCATGCAAACCAAAAGCGACTTGACGGAGATGAATCAATCAATCATTGATTCCCGCTACATAACCTATACATCCACCCACATCAATGAAAATAGACCGACCATATGAAGATGAGATGAGATCAGGTCTATCTTTTCTTGAATTTCCCACTCTCTTCCATCAGCATCCTTACCGTACCTTACTTTACTTAACTCTGCATACATATTTCACTTTTTTTTTTTTTTTTCTTTGGATGTCTTCTACTTCTACACGTATAAAGTGACTCGAGACAGAAAATTTTTCTTTCTATATTTTTCGAACTCTCTGTCTTGTATGTATAATTTTGTTTCGAGTTACATGTATACATATATATGTCTGTACATACAATATTTTCTTCCCATTCTCTTTATTGGTTATTATTTGCATAGGTAAGGTATGCATGGCCGTGAACTGGCTTGAGATGAAAGGATATGTTCTATCTGGTTGATCTGTTTCTTTTTTCTCTTTTTTTCTCTTTTCCCTTTTTCTTTATGTTATACTTAATATCCACTCATAAATCATGAATCAGTAGATAATTAAAAAAAAGTATTAAGAAAGTTGTCTGAAAAACACCTGATTTTTCTAAAGTGCTGGAACTTATACCTCCGGAGGAGACGAGATGCACGCATTAATCAGTTCTGAAGATAGAGTGTTGTTCACAATCGCGTCCAGGGGTTTTATTTTTATGTTTACAATAATTATTAAAGAAAAACAAACACACCATTTTAGTGATTCTGTGGGACGTCTGAGAAAAGAAAGAGAGGAGTAAAGAAGAATAATAAGATAGAACAGTGTTTTGTGTTCGCCGAAATCATGGAAGGACAGAAGAAAGAAGAGAGAAACAAGAAAAAACTTTTGCACAAGAGCACACGTAAAGGGGGGTATTGACACAGGCTATAAAGTGCAGGATAGGATAAGATATACATTCATTCGTAAGAGAACATGTCAGAATCACAGACACATGGATTTGAAATAAAAAAAAGAACTTTTTCCTCCTGATTGTCCCACGTCCATTTCGAAGATAAAAAAAACTTTCAAAAACTTTTGGTTATTCATAGGGGTAGTAGGTAAGCCAGTTGAGAAATCTCGATTCGGACTTCTTTCAACGGCCCCAGCGAGAGAAGTCTAGATTTTGAAGTATATTAGCATCGGCGGACGCGTTCCAGTCGGTAGCAAAATCCGCTCTTGTCGAGGGGTTGCGGGAAGGTAGTTCCTCAGAGTAAATGTTGGCCTTTGTATTCCGACGTTGGCTGGGATAAGCGCCTTCTGCGCCGTCTGGGTTCTGAGATTGGGATCCCAGTGCGCGCTCACGTAGTCTTTTGATTTCACGCAGCCGGTTTCGCCAAGATGAGACGTGCTCGCCTTCCTGGCTATTCCACACAAGTGAGAAGACGGAAGCATTCAGGGCAAGGAAACGGACAAATGCAGCGAGATTTTTCCCGGAGATGACCTTGGGCACGGCCGCGGGTGATATTTCAGGGAACCCTGGCTTGCTTATGACTTGCACATAATAAAAGAGATTGTCAAAATAAGCAGTTCCCAAATTGGCAACCTTGGAATCATTGGCGATTCGACACACAGGGCTGATAACGATGTTGACAAAGTTAAACTGTGATGGGATCGTGTCAAAATTGAACGGAAGATTAGACCGGTTGAAAATAATGTTGACAAAGTCATTTCCAATGTGACGTTTCTTATTGACGCACGAGGGGTCGTTGTCAAAACTGGTCGGCATCATGGTCGCCACATGATAAACGATTTCTGTCACCCGATCCCGCCAGGCATACGTGAACTCGCCATCTATGTCGGAGTGCAATCCCTGGGTATTGAACTGTGCTCCTTTGAGGGGAACCTTTGTCCCGAGTCCCGACAAGAAATGCTCGTAGTCCGGACTGCCGCTTGTGTTTGAAAGAATTTCGGCTTCTACTGTCTGGCCATTGCCTATGTACAGGACCCCGATTTTATGCCCATCCACAATGTCATTCCGGTCGAATGTACTGAGGGCACGGCGGGTAATCTCGTCCTCGAGAAGTGGGATGGGCTGCATAGAGGTGGGTGTAGGGAAGGCTGTAGTGGTCATTTGGAGCATCACATGGCTGGGAAGAATGGCAGTGCGCATATCGTCAGAATGAATGTGGGCTTCGGCTGTCGGAGGGACTTGATGAGGGAGGACAGGCGCGGTCCGCTGCTGGTACATCGCATAGGTTGTACCGGATGCCTGCCTCTTGGTGATTTGGGTCAAGCCCGAAACGCCAGCGGTCTCCACGGTGATGATACTCATTCCAACCACCCACGACTTTTTGATAACGGGCCCATCTGTTGGGGATGGGGGAAATGTTGAGTATGGAATGGTTTCGCCCAGGTCCGTGAACGCGACCCGCTGCATCAGGTCAAGGAAGACCTGGCTTTGTTCTTCTACCATCTCTTTGCCATGTTCGTCCTTGAAAATGAGTCGACTGGTTATCCAATTGACATTCTTGGCTCGATCCTGCAATTTCAATGACAGGAACCAGAAGACCATGACGTGATGCGTGAGGGTATAGATATATCTTGACATTCCGTCTTGCAGGGAAGGATCGGGAACCTCAGCAGGAAGAGCTGCGGTTTCGCGCATTCCACTTCCAAGTCTTGCAGATACTTGCGTGGTAGTTCGAGTGGGCGATTCGGAGGATTTAAACCGCTGCTCTCTTGAAGTCTGCAAAAAGCGAATACAAACGCCAAACACGGTGCGAATCTCTTCTTCCCGCAAATTGATGTAGACATCGGGAAGCCGCGCAAGCAGCGCTAGAAACTCGAGGATATGAACCGCAAGATTGGACATGGTGATCACTTTGGACATTTTGTCAAGTATTCCATTCAATGATTTCGTCACAGAAAGTGGGATTTCATGACAACAGACAGAGAGCGCGTGGATACAGCCCCGAGATGTGCCTCCCCAAGACCCGATGATTCCCAGCATGAATGCGCGAACGAGTTCGTCTTCTTCACTTTTGGCGAAGAATTCATGGTAACTGATAAGTGCGCAAAGGGATTCGAATATATACCCTGCCACATCCGTCTTTTTTACGCCAGTCGATGGAGGCGGCTCTCGAAATTTGTCATTTTTAACCTGATCACACAAAATGCTGCGGAGAAGTTTAATGGGTGGGATTGCATTTGTGAAAAAGTCTCGGTTGCGAAGTTGAGGCCCAAGGTGAGTAAGAACATAGCTGTAGATATCCCAATTACTCTCAGTCTGGAGCATCTGTATGACGGCCTCGAGCCAAATGTTTGCTTTCAACGCAATCTTTTCGGTGGGCTCTGCCTCAACGGGGCTTGACGTGTCTGGTGTTGCATATGCATAAACAAAGGGACTCGACTCATCCGGAGGCTCTTCAGGGAGGACTTGGGACGAGGCATAAGTCCAAACCGGCGGCGTCAACTTGGACGTACGCATGCTAACCGATGCATTGCGAGCAGTCGAGCGAGAAGAGAGACTGACTGGGTCATGGATTGAAAGTCTGCCTTGGGCTGGCGGGCGCGACTGGTCATTACCAGGACTGTGCTCTGTGCTTTGATCCTCGAAAGTATGCGATTTGGCGCCGACATCTGTATTGCGACCGGACATTCCCATGATGAAATCATTTTCTGAAGTAGATATGACCGAGATGGATCCTGAGGAGTCACAACGAAGTCTGAAGAGCACTTTGAGAACAGTCAATCGCGAATCCACCGGCCGCTCTGGAGATTTGGAAATCTCCTGGAGTGCGTCAAAGACCACAACTGCTTTGGTCGCGGAAAGGTTCAAACATCGCAGAAACATCCTCACCAAACCAACAGAACAGACATTGGCTAATGATAGCTCCAAGACACTGCCTAGTGAGGGGCGCGGAGGTGGTAATGAGGGTTCTGTCCCTTGGAGCAGCCCATCTTTACCTAAATCCTTATTCATGGGCGAACTGATGGTGTCCACCAAGAATTTGAAGGTAGAATCATCCCGAACAAGAATGGAGGTATCCACAGCAAATGAGACCAATGTCTCCAGAAACATGATGTCGTCCTCGTAAGCGAAACTCTCAAACATGAGATCTAGGAGCCCTTGTTCCATAAACTGAACTAAGGATTCATAGTTCGAGAAGGCGTCCTTCACTGTTTCCAGAGCTAATATGCGGATATCGGATGGCTTAGTACGGGATCGGATGAAACAGCGGATCAATCTTTGACAATGCTGTACCCAATCTGGGTTGCCGGGGAAGCAAAGCCTCTCGGTCCTTACTGTACTGAGAACGAGTTCAGCCTGGGGAGGCTCGATCTGCTGACAGATATTCATCAGGAAGCGAGTGATCTCTAATTTCTGCAGTCTGTTGATACGCTCCCAGAGAGACTCGAGGGCGGAGGCAATTTGGATGATGCTAGCCAAGATGCTCGGCCTGGCGTCCTCGATAACGCTGCCCCGCGGATGAGGCACTGGGGCGCTAGGCGTTGTGGTGTAACATTCATCCTCGTCAACAACTCTAAGTGAACACAGGCTCATAAGGTTGACGAACCCTACCCAGTTACTCCCCAGGGCTACGTCAGCGAAGTCCCCATCCAGCACGTTCAGGCACAACTCCAAAATGTCCGCTTCCAATCTGCCATCATCCTTTTTGTTTACTCTGGGTTGTTCCAGGATGGCCTGGAGAGAGCCCACTAGACGGTCAAAATCGAGCTGTGGGATTCCGTCTTGGCCGTGGGCGCGAATTAGATCCGTGAAAACGTGCACCGACCCTCGTAAGACTCCTTCAGAAGAGTCGGACAAGAACGAGTACAGGGTGTCCATCATTTCACCCTGTTTTTTCGACTTGGCTAGATTTCGAACGGCTCTTGACGTGGGTCCCGACAAAGATTTGACGGAGGCATGGATACTGCACAATACCTCCAGCAAAGGGATAAAGCTTCCATCTGGTACGTCCGCATATAGGATTATGGAGTCGAAAACAGCCAGCGAGTTTTTAATGTCGGCGGCAACAGTTGTCTTCTTGCAAACAATAAAGATCTGCTCCAGCAATCGCTGGACCTCTTCACTACTAGGAGGGCTCCGCTGCAAAGTGATCAGATCTACTGCAAATTGCAGCAAGTCGTCTAGTACGGTGTCATCATACCCCAGGCCATTGGCTCGACCGACTCTCGATTTTCGCGCCTTTAGCCGGACGCTCGATATGAGCTCATATAGCGGGATTATACAAGATGAAATGATGGGAAGAATGGATGAGTTGGTGAACTCTAGCTTTCTGCCATGGTCCGACAGGGCTATTAGCGACTGAATCCGCGCGGGTATAACGTCAGGTTCTGATGAACTAGAGATCGATTCGAAGATGGTGCGTCTCGCTGCTGGTGACAGGTCTTGGCGCGATGCGACGGCTTCCATCAACATCGAGCCGCTCCGTCGAGCCTCCGTCGAGCTGACATGGTGAATAAGGTAGGAGCCGGCCTCCCACAGCATAAGTGATTGTTCCGGAGATAGCCATTGGAGTGATTTTGCGGCCTGTTCGGCTTCGTCAATGGCCTGGCCTAGGTTCTGTTTCTGGGTGATGATCCTGAGTGACGTTTCGAAATCCGGCGCACCAGAAGTGTCCGAGGAGCTCGAAACGACGCTGCCACGATGCATTGAGTCGAATCCAAATGAAATCAGATTGCTCCTCCGTCCATCTGAAGTCTGCGACAAGGAATCACTGCTGTCTTTGAATGAGACCGGAGAAAGCGACTTGGGCCGCGAAACGCCTAGAGACTTGAAAACGTCCGCGAAACTCGATGTGGTATGTTTGTAGTTTGAGGTTGATGAAGCATCGTCAGAAGACATGCGTCCCAGTGGACGGTGATAACGGATACTGTTGGGCCGGAGGATTATATAGCTGCCCGGTAAGAAACCCAATTAGCAAGACCCTTCCATAGGAAGTTGCGAGCCTACTCCTCTGTGACACAGGCCGCACAACTGACATACTAAAACAAGTGTTCACATACCATGAACCAGTCGATTACAGAAGCTCATGTTCCTTAACGGCTGCTAGGACGTGTATTGAGAACCTTCCTCAGACAAGATCGGTGACAGATGCGACAACTTGGGTTTCAATTAATAACCATAGCTTTATGGGCGGGCGGAAGAGGGTTCATCAGAAGGTAGGCAACAAGAAAGTCCCATCCAAAGCTGAAAAAGACCTCCGGAGCAGGTTTAACTTGGAACCGACAGACCGAGAGCCGATGGGATGATAGTTGGAGATACGGCGAAGGTGTGCCAAGACACTTTTCCCCTCAGAGCATTGACGATGATGATCTGGCGGAGGCTCGGATTGTCGTTGATCCGGTGCTATCACCTGATGGGCAGAATCACCCCGCGGACATGGCTTCACCGCCTGGGAATTGTTGCAAAGCAACCACCAAACAAACTGCCTGACCAGGAATACAAGCTCTCTCACGGCTTTTTCCTACGGGGGCACTGGTATTCAGCTGTTTGTAAAAATCCTGCCCACAGCCATCCATTCATTCTCTCTTACAACCCCTTTTGTCTCCCTTATACCCTCCCTACGTACACCGTCCCTCATAGTTGATCTCTACATTTCTTGTACTCGCCCCGCTCCAATATGGCCGACAACCTTGGAGCTGTTGCACAGCTCCTCGATGCCAGTTTGGACCCCAGACAAAACAAACAAGGTATGTTCTTTCTTTTGGATGTTGGCGAAATCTGGCAGGGTGAGCCAATGTATACTTTGAACCCCATAACTAAAAGCGAACTTTTAAAGCCGAACTTGCTCTTCGCCAGGAAGAGAAAAAGCCTGGCTACTCTTTGCAGCTTCTACAAATCACCGCATCTGCCACCTATCCCTACAATACCCGCCTTGCTAGTGCGCTATGCTTCAAAAACTTTATCAAGTGGAACTGGACAGATGAGGATGGAAACTACAAACTCCAGGAGAATGAGGTCACGACGATCAAACGGGAGCTGATCAGCCTGATGATTTCGGTCCCGACGGGCATCCAGACTCAGCTGGGAGAAGCTGTTAGTGTGATTGCCGACAGTGATTTCTGGGAGAGATGGGACACACTGGTGGATGTAAGCTACCTTGTCACTTCTGGCACCTTCGAGGCCTTGTTTGCCTTGGACGATACTGACGAATAACTTTTCAAAGGACCTCGTTTCAAGACTCCAACCCGCCAACCCTGCTGTCAACATCGGTGTCCTACAAGTCGCACATTCTATTTTCAAAAGATGGAGGCCTTTGTTCCGGTCGGATGCACTCTACATTGAAATCAACCATGTTGTTGAGAAATTTGGAGCCCCCTTCCTGAGTTTGTTCGAGGTAATTTCCCCCAATGGCCATGCCTACCACACCTTCTATCTTCGCACATCTAAGATATAATACGATCTGGAAATACATGAGGCTAATACTAATTCCTTATAGCAACTGAACAACTTCATTGAGCAAAACAAGTCGAATAAAGAAAATCTCGCCCAAGGGTTTGCGCAGCTAAACTTGATGGTCAAGTTGCTCTATGATCTTTCTTGCCACGATCTTCCCCCCGTTTTCGAAGATCAAATTGCTGGGATAGCTGGTCTTTTGCTGAAGTACCTCACCTATGACAACCAATTGCTTGTCACTGATGATGATACTGAAGCCGGTCCGTTGGAGTTTGCGCGCGCTGCCATTTTCCAGGTCCTGACTCTGTATGTGCAGAGATACCAAGATGATTTCAAACCATACATTGGTGATTTCGTCCAGAGTTCTTGGAATTTCCTGACCACCATTGGCCAAGAAACAAAGTATGACATTTTGGTCAGTAGAGCTCTGCAGTTCCTCACTTCGGTTGCCGCTATGCCTGAGCATGCCATGGTCTTCCAAGATGAGAACACTCTCAAGCAAATTATCGAGAAGGTCATTCTACCCAACGTGAGCCTTCGTGAATCGGACGAGGAGCTCTTTGAAGATGAGCCGATTGAATTCATCCGGCGAGATCTCGAAGGATCAGACAGTGACACGCGACGACGAGCTGCCACCGACTTTCTGCGCAAACTGGCTGAGAAGTTCGAAGAGAGCGTCACCAGAGTTGTTTTGCAGTATATCGAGCATTACCTCGCTGAGTACACGAAGGATGCGTCGAACTGGAAGGCTAAGGACACTGCCACCTATCTTTTCTCTGCCATTGCAGCAAAGGGAATTGCCACTGCTAGCCACGGAATCACTGCCATAAACAACTTGGTAAGTATCACCGATTACTTCCAGAAGCATCTTGCTGCCGACCTGGTTGGAGGAGATAGTGTACACCCTATCCTCAATGTTGATGCTATTAAATACCTTTACGTGTTCCGAAGCATCATCACCAAGGAACAGTGGCAGGAGGTGCTTCCGCTTTTGGTCAACCAACTTGCCTCTTCAAACTACATTGTCTACAGCTACGCAGCAATTGCTGTCGAAAGAGCGCTTTACCTCAGTGATAGCCAAGGCCAACCGATCATCGCACCCAGCACTATTACACCCTTGGCCAAGGACCTGCTGCAGCACATCTTCTCATTGATCCAGAAGGATCCTGCCCCTCAGAAGATCCAGGAAAATGAATTCTTGATGCGATGTGCCATGCGAGTGTTGATCGTCATCAAAGAGAGTGTTGTACCGCATACCGACATCGTGTTGCAGCACTTGATCAACATCACGCAGATCATCAGCAGCAACCCTAGCAACCCCCGATTCTATTACTACCACTTCGAAGCCCTTGGAGCCTTCGTTCGGTTAGTCAACCCCTCTTCTGCTACCTAGCGGGATAGAAAATAACTAACATCGTTAGGTTTGCTGCACCTTCAAACCCGGACAAACTTGAGCAAGCTCTTTATCCTCCCTTCGCTGGAATTCTTCAAGGGGATGTGCAAGGTAGGCCGCCACTGTGATAAATGCCCAAGATTAAAGGCTATCGAAAACTAACGCTTTTCTCTCGCACGTTAGAATTCATGCCCTACATCTTCCAGCTTTTCGCCGCTCTTCTAGAGGCCAACCCATCGGGAACATTGCCCAATTATTACCAGAATCTGATCGCTCCCATTCTCATGCCCGTTATGTGGGATTCGAAAGGCAACACCCCCGCTCTTGTGCGATTGCTATCGTCCATCATTGCTCGTGGTTCGCAATTCATCATCGAGAGCCAGCAGATCGAGCCTATCCTGGGTATCTTCCAAAAGCTCATCTCGTCCAGGGCCCATGAAAGCTACGGCTTCGATCTTTTGGAGGCTGTTGTCGCAAACTTCCCACCGTGAGTCCAATTCATACCTGCCGCAACACCTTGTCTTCGCTGACATGTTGATATAGGACTGCCCTGGAGCAATACTTCGTTTCGATCATGCAGGTGATCCTTATGAAACTCGAGACCAACAAGACCGAGAGCCTGCTTATTCGATTTGTTCGCTTCTATCACTTCATCTCCGCGCAAGAAGAAAAGGGCTACAGTGCCGATTTCGTCATACAAGTTTTCGACAAAGTCCAGCCGAAGTATGTGGCATTCGTCTCCCTTTTTTGTTTGCGAAATATAGAATTGACTGACATAATGCAGCTTGTTCACGTCGATCTACTTGAATGTTATCCTCCCCGAGACGCAGAAGCTTGCCCGTCCCTTGGATCGCAAGACCGCTGTTTTGTCTTTTACCAAGACGGTTGCTAACTCGGAGGCCTTTGCGGACCGGTACAAGAAGGGATGGGGTTTCACTGTCGAAGCCTTGCTGAAGCTTCTGGAGCTTCCTCCCCTCCCTGCTGGAAAGGACGACATCATTGCGGAGCACGATGTTGAAGACATGGCATTTGGAGTTGGGTACACGGCGCTTAACACCGTGCGAGTTCAGACTCGGGACCCGTGGCCGGATACGGGAGCCGATCTCAAGGCTTGGGCTGGCCAGTACCTGAAAGCAGCGGACAAGAAAACCAACGGCCGCATCACTCAGTTTGCCCAAGAGCGTCTACAAGACCAGCTCAAGGCATTGTTTGGCAGTTACATCGCATAAGCGAAAGTGAAGCACCCGGCGGCGGCAAGAAACGCATCGATCTTTCGATAGGGAGATGATGGTGTCCGTTGGCTTGGAATTTTGGCGGTACAACGGTTGAGTCGCAGGAGAATCTAAAAAGAAATAAACGGTGGGGGAAAGGGCGGCGCACGTCAAAAAAAAAGAATTAAATGTCCTTATGAACCTTGCTTAGATGACATTGAGATGTCCAGTTCCGTGTTATGTACAAGATAATTTATTTTACAGTAAATCTTCTTTCAGAGCATCTGGCCGGATGCTCATGTATGTCATTCAGTTCGAACAGCCAACGGAGTGACTCACGAAGAATGAGAAGGCACCTCTTTCCCATCCGACTCTTGACGGCGTTCCTCAGCGCCCTCTTCGAGAGCCCCCTGCTGGTCCTGCTGGTCCTGCTGGTCCTGCTGGTCTTCCAATTCGCGATACTTTCTGCGGCTCTTCTTCACCTTACTAGCTTTCTTCTTTCGCGCCTGCTCCGCTTTGAGAGAAATTCGACTCTGATCGCCACTCTGCAGCTGCTCAACCCTATCGGCCAGGAGTTGGCGCGCAATCTTCTCATTCTGGGAGCGCGAACGGGTCGCCTGCGACTTGACCACAATGCCGGTAGGTCTATGGATCAGCTGAACTGCGGAGTTCGTTTTATTCTAGACGATGGGAGTCAGCTCAATAAACTAAGCTGGAAGGGCAGGACAGGAATCAGGCTACAATTTTCTGGCCTCCGGGGCCGGAGCCCTTGAGGTATGACACAGTCAGATCGGCATCCTCGATCTTTAACCGGGCAGGGAGGGGTTTGGAGCCAAGGGAATAGGCGGATAGAGAGAAGGGCCTAATCGGAGTGACTGTTCGTGTGCTTGCTCCTAGGTTCCGAGCGAGAAGACAGGACCGCAGCATTCTTATTTTATTGTATTGTTCACTACGACGAAGTATAACATTTGCATTTCACGTGTGCGCGGAGGGAGAGACGTTCTGGCCTGAGGCAGCTCGGACCTTGGGTCGGTCCGAGTGTTATTGATGACTAACCATCGACAACTTCTCGAAACTTCATCTGTGCCATCTCTCTGCAATGTCTACTGTCCGGTGGACTAGATTCAGTATGATATCCAGGCTTCTATTTCATCATAGCTGGCGAATCGGCTGAGGAATCTTGATTTCGGTGATAAGCAGGATCATCGCGATGGAACCCTTCGATGCAAGACCGACGATACGCAAGAGGTGCCAAGCATCCAGCTGACGTACGCCTTTCGGTAGGCTTTCGACGGAGTACGGAGTACGATCGATGCGCATGTTCGCTATTGTTGATATTATTATTGATCAGGTCATGTTGGGGTTGAGCCGATACCAGAATCACGGCCGCGCCTGCTCATCCACGGAGTGTTTTTCACGGGGAAATCAATTGGATAATTGGACCCTGACCGGGGTGGAACCCTTTTCTTACTCTTATTCGTACTCGCAATGCGCAGCCACTTTGAAACATGGTCGAGATCCGATGGAAGGACCGCAACTTTGTCTCAAGTCTCAACTGTCTATTCTTAGTTGGTCCTCAACCCGTCACTGAATAAAATCCCGCCTTCAATTCCTCCCTCATTCTTTCTTCCCCTTCTCACGTCCCCCGCATCTCGCATCTGCTGCGGATTGATCTCGTCTTGGCTTGCGCTGTGATTCTGTGAAATAATCTTCTTTTTATTTCTGGCTCTGCTCACTGCTGTCGGTCTGTCGATCTTGAACCCACTTTTTTTTTCCTTTCTCTTTTTTCGTTTTTCCCTGCCCTTTCTCGAATACGGTATCCAATCGAGACTTTTCCAGTTTCCACTCTTCTCTCTGATTTCATCCCTCGGGTGAACAATGGAAATTTGAAACGAGAGAATCCCCGACTCCACTCCCAAGTCCCAACAGCTGAAATCCGTGCGACCTGCCGTCTTCCCCCCTTTCCTCCTTTTCGGCGGAGCTAGTGTGACCTGCGCTAGGTCCGAACCTAAGAAAAAAAGATTCCTACTCCGTATCTCGCGACCACCCTTTCCCCTCAATACCTTCAAGCCGTTGAAGTTCTTGCATCCTTGCTATCGCGCATATTCTACCCATATCCTGTGTCAATCATGGCGTTTCTACTCTGGGTCGCAAGCTCCTTGGTTCGCTGGATTCGTTTGAAGATCTATCAATATGAGGTGACCTTCGCTGTCTACATGCTTACTCCCACGGAAAAGTTCATTTTCAGTATGGCTCCCTACATTACTAACCCGGGTTCATGGACCCTTCAGCCGTGTAGAGGCGGTGCTAACCATCATGACAATGACAGATTCTATCCTTCTCACTCTCCTCTCGATGATTTTGACCGCCATTGTTGTCTATCTCCCCGACCATCTCCGAACCGTCTACAGTCACATGTACTACTACTGGGCCGGCGAACGCCCCTTCATCTCCAGCAATCTCGGGTCCATCAGCTCGGTCTTTCGTGAAAGTGGAACGCAAGCTCTGGGGGTGATGTACGAAACCGCCAAAAACGCTGCCGTGACAGGAACCGAGCCAATTGCTGAGCTGTGAGAGTATTGTGCCATTGGTGACAGCAATGGAGTTGGTCACTATCATAATTGGGTGGCCTGGCTTCCTTCCTCCCCGCTACACAGCCAAGGTCTTTATCTTTCGACGAGATAGCGAATTCATCAGCATACTACTCTCATCTTCAATACGCCCGCATTGCTTAATTGCATAGTTTCTGATACGAGCCTGTCTGTCGTTGCAAATTCACCAGTGGCATTGACAGATTCATCTTTACGGAGTTTAAGCGATAAGTCTTTATTTCTCGAGCAGGCCGGCGCATCTAGGAGTTTTCGATCTATCGCACTAACTTGTTCTTCTAACCTATCGGGTCCCCCCACTTGTAGCATATATCTTTTTTTTAATTGTTCCGATGGCATTTCTTCAAGCCATCGGCGACATGGATCTGACTCTGATTCTCTTTTTGTTCCCTTTCTTTTTTCTTTTTTCTCATATTCTCATTTTAATTCTGGTCCTTCGTTCTTTCGAGGGCTGCATTTCCTTTGGGTCTAGACCAGGCTTGTGTTACGGAACCTGTCGGATGTTACTCCCGCCGAAGCTCACCGATGCCCCGTTGGAGAAGGAGACCGGGGGGGCAGAGATTATGTCGCTTTGAACATAAATTATGAATGTCGGTACATAATTCACCAATATAATATAAATATATCCATGTAATTTACCCAATCTCGAAAGAAAACCCAAATAAAACCCGTCAAACTCCTGCCATGCTCAGAAGAGAAGAGTGTTGTACATCAAAGCAATCAAAAAAAGGTCGTACATGTGAAACCACCACAGAAAAAGTTTTCCTTCGTAGTCGCGCAGAGGACGTTACTCTGGACCCCGCAGAGTAACCCAAAAGAGAACTCTCCATTCGGTTTCCTTGCCACTCCGCGTAATCACTGCTCCCGATTTATCACCTCCCAGCCATTCATAGGTGGTGAGAGGTAGGTACTAGGTACTAGGCAACCGAACCAACTCCCTCTGAGACATCTATTCCGAGTTCTGCGCATTGGCAGCAGCAGAGGCCGCCTGCGCCTCGGCCTGTGCCTGTGCCTGGCGTCTCTGCCGCTTCACCGCGTCGACCGTTCGCATGCGCGACAGCTCGGCGTCGATCTCATCTCTCTCCAAAGGGATCTTGTGCGATTGTTCCGTGGTGGGCCAGAATCCGGGGACGCTGAATCGGTCGTCGAGGTTCGTTCCGAAGTAATACATCCATCCGATGGGGAAGATGATGTACATGCCGAACTGGTTAAGTTTTATCTTGTCAGTTTGGGAAGTTTGACTGGAGGCGAATTATAGTATGTATGTAGTGGGCCGGGGTTCTTTGGTCTTGTGTTGACGGATAGATAGACGTACCTTGAAGACTTCGAGATTTCCTCCTTGGAGTCTGCGGAGGATGTTGGAGGCCATTGCTGCGGGTGGTTTGTTGGGTACTGGTGCAGGGTGTCTATGCAGGCGGAAGAAAGGTGGGATGATGTGCGGGATTACTGGTCGTCGGGATCCGCGAGATTCGAAGGTCTTGGTGTGTATAGAGAGGATTGGGTCTGATATAACAATGGTCGGTTAATGGATGGAATGAGTCTGTCGATGAGACTGCTGGCAGACCGGGATTCAATTCTCGAACACGGAAGCGCAGTAAATTCCTAGAATAATTAATCACGGAGCTTCTGACAGGCCAGCCGGCGATCGCCCGATGAGTGCAAACCGCACAAACAGTGCCACGTGCCCTCCGCTCACCTGACCTGCAGTCCCGTGACCTGCAGACGGGCCTCGGCTTGTTCGGACCGTCGGCCTCCCCGCAAATTCCAGGGTTCGTTCTATGGGCGCTTCGGCATCTGCGTGATTACTTCTCTTTCCTCTTTAAGTTCTTATACACGAGCCCAGATTGCTGGTCAATCTCCAACACTCTCTCTTCCGATAATCTTAAGATCGCATCGTGTCCGGCTCGCTAGACTCAAATTGAACCTACTAGAGCTTTTCATTATCTCCAATTCTTGAACTTCGGTTCCTTTTTCATACTTCCTGCGGAGGGAGTACTTCATATTTCCACTCTGAATCAACAATCATGGCCAACGAGGACCTCATCACCGTCACCTACCAAGACCGAGTGGCCATCGTCACCCTCAACCGTCCCGACAAACTCAATGCCCTCAATATAGACCTCTACTACCTTCTCGGACAACGGCTCCGAGAAGTCGACCAGAGAGATGACATCTTCATCACCGTTCTGACCGGCACGGGCCGATTCTTCTCTGCGTAAGAACCCTCCATCCACACCCCATATTTACAATCCCGACAAGAACCTCTCTATCTAACAAACTTCCGCCTCTACCACAGCGGCGCAGACGTAACCTCGACCCGCCCCGGCGGAGACCTAGACAACGACGCCCGGCGCGAGATCATGCGCGGGTTCGTCGCCAACAACTTCGACATTACACGGACATTCGCCCACCACTCGAAGATCCTCATCGCGGCTCTAAACGGCCCCGCAGTCGGCCTATCCGCAGCACTCGTCGCCCTCGCCGACTTCGTCTACGCAGCGCCCCACGCCTTCCTTCTGACACCGTTCTCCTCACTCGGCCTCGTCGCAGAGGGCGGCAGTTCGCGCGCCTTCGTCGAGCGACTCGGCATCGCCAAGGCCAACGAGGCCCTTATCATGAGCAAGCGGCTGACGTGCGACGAGCTCGTGGCGACCGGGTTCGTGAACAAGGTTATTGCGGCGCCGTCGGGCAAGCAGGACGACTCGGCCGGGTTCTTGGCTAAGGTGTTGGAGGAGGTGGAGGATCGGCTGGGCACACATCTGAGTCAGACCAGTTTGTTGAAGATCAAGGAATTGGTTCGCAGGCCGGAGCGCGAGATCCTGGATCGGCAGAATGGTATCGAGGTGTTTGCTGGGATGGAACGGTTCTTGAGTGGTGGGCCGCAGGAGGAGTTTAGGCGGTTGGCGTCGGGGGAGAAGAAGCATAAATTGTGATTTCTCTTTATAGAGGCTTCTTCTATGTGTGTATTTACATGGGCTGGGATGATCTATTTGATTCGATGGAGGCTGGTTTGTAAGGGCCTACTGATTGAATATGGTTTATGTTATGCTTTCAAGACCATTCACTTCGCTAAAATGGATTGTGAAGAGTGTTCATTCCGAGCGAAGCAGAATCGCCCATGTCATTGCCTTTTTACATTCCTACCCTAAAATCTCAATAAACGCCGTTCATGCAAACGCTCTTTCATTAACCCTTGAACGTACTCCAGAACCCCACGGAACGTAGCAACCCGCGCATTATCGCCCACTCTCACTATCCGAATCGGATTCCTGAGTCTGCTTGGCCAGGATGTCCTGCCACTTGCCGAGGAACTCGCTCATGCCGCCCGGGCCAGTCATGGAAGCTTCCACCACCTCCTTGGGCAACTTAGAAGCGGAGTATTGGGGTGTGGTAAAAGCGTACGCCTCCGGGTCATCCCGCTTGACAAGCCGGAATTCGGGAAGGAAGGGATTGTCGTCGTCAGATTCCTCGTCTAGGTCCTCTTCCGATTCCGATTCCGACTCTGATTCTGATTCTCCAGCCACTCCAAGGTCCAAGATGGTGGGGTTGTTTCCATTGAGAGACAAGCGAACAAATTGCTCTTCCGCGCCGTCCTCTTCCTGAATGCCGATAGGGTCTTTCATCTGGAGAATCTCCAACCAGCCGAACAGAAGCGGATCGGTCCTTTCGGCCCACGGGTTGATGTCCACGAGCCAGACGCGCTGGTGCGGAGGCGGGAGGTAGATGTCGAAGACAAAGTTCGGGTCGGGGAACGTATTCTTCAATTTCTCGTCGAAGAACGCCTGGATTCGAGACCGGAGGGAATCACGCATGGGGAAGAGGAAGTCGAAGTGGTTCTGATCACGCTGACAAATACATAAGAGCACCCGATTGCGCACGAAGCATCGGAACTCGAGCGATGGGTTGAAATTGACATATTTACGGAGGATGAGATGGTAAGGGACTTCGGGTGGGTTGGTTTCGGACGGAGAAGAGTCGGTCGAGTCGGCGACACATCCGTCGTAGGGGTATTCCAAGTCATGGGTCACAAAATCGCTGCTCTTGAGGAGGAGGTAAATGTCGGTGGGTGTGCGACACTGCAGGTCATTCGTTGCCGACATCCACGAAGCGTCTTTCGGGGCGCTCCAGTTCAGTTTGGGGGTCACGTTGCCTCCGAATTCTGAGATGGTGGACTTGACTTGCGCATGGATTTCCTTCCACTCTGTTGACGGGTCCGGCTCTTCGTCGGCGGAATCGTCGGAATAAGCATCGAGGTTGTTGTCGTCGTCCGTAGGTCGAACATCTTCTGGGGGCAACACGATGCCGTCGGCGCGGAGGTAAGACACAAACGAAGAGGTCAATGGTATGGCGCGAGACTTGGGGGTGAGGGTGCGATAGCTATCAATACATTGTTCATTTAGTAATCCACTCACGGCGCCGGGTCATGAAGAAGCATACCGAGGATGCCAATTATGATACGAGCAGTTCAGTATGTGCGAGTGAGTAACTGGAGGGAAAGGCAGGCTCGTCAGCTGCTCCTGCTCCGCCGAGGAGTCAGCAGAAGGCTGCGAATCCGATTCAGGATGAGGCATGATTGCGATGGGTGAGGAAGAGGGAGGGAGGGGCAGAGTGAAAGTCCGCGGGGTCTTTTTTTTTTTAATTGATTTTCTCTGCGGCGGATGAGTCAAGGAGCTGCCATTTCGGGTATGGTGGATACGGCCATGACAGTACCGTTACAGCCACGTGCTGCCTCAGGCACCGGGCGTTGTCCCGTCAAGTGATCGACCGGCATTCCGCATCGTTGGCCTCTTTCCTCCGCATCCTGTCGCTCTCCTTCACCATGGCGTTGGATGGCCCTGACCCGCAAAGCCTGAAGACCTGGCAGGATGCCTTCCAATATCCAATTCCTACCGTGCGCCGTGTGGAGCAGGAGCTCCGGCGAGACATCGCGAGCAACAAGGAGAAGCTCCGTGCTCTAGTTGGGTATGCCAGATAAACCTCGTGTTTGCTGTTCATCGCTAACGCTCAATGCGTCTTCAGTACGAGATATCGAGAATTGGTCGGAACCGCGGAGACAATTGTTTCCATGAACCGCGAGATACAGAATGTGGATACAACATTGGCCGACATTGGACAGCGATGCAACCCGCGATTGATGGAGAAGAAGTTTACACATTTTCATCAAATCAAAGGTGATGTCAGAGATAAAGGTAAAATGCTGTCCGTTCATTGGGATCTTCCCTTTCCAATGCTAATGTTATTGCCAGATTCGGCCAAGCGCTCGTTGAGCGCTCAGCTAGCTCTACTACAACGCTGTGCGGCCTCGATTTCGCAACAGCTAAGACGCCGTGGTTCTCTATTGTTAATGGCAAAGCTTACGGTTATTTCTCGACGTCTCCATAACACGATATCTCAACAAAAACCGGTTCCTCCGTTCCTAGAGAACCTGCGCAAACAGATAGTTTCGCTTCGACAGACGCTTCTGGGGAGGATAAATAAACGTCTTGCGTCGGCCACATCGACGGCCGATGAGATCATTGAGGCTTTGGCGGCTTACTGCCTGGTTGATAGCTCTTCTTCGGATGACGCCCTACGCCATTTTCATCAAGTCCGCTTGGATCATATCGGGAGTCAATTGGAATCCCAAGACACGTCGGGCGAGCACGTTTTGAACGCCCTACGGTTATATGTGCGAACACTTCAGTCGACGAAAGTACTCCTGTCCCGTCGTTTATCCGATGCCTTGGGCAAATTAAAAGCACGGCCCATCCTCGCCGATCCTGATGTTCGTAGTCTCGATGATCTAGGACTCGATGTCTTGGGCCGCTGGGTGGCCCCAGATGTCAGCAATTTCATCCCTTGGGTTAAACTAAGTGAATGCTCCAAAAGTGACGCCGAAAAACTTATAAAGCAATGGTCCAAGCAAGCGTTTGACAGATTTGTCGACAGATGCCAGAAAAACCTGACCAGCTGGCTGGACTTCACGAGCCTACTTTCTCTCCGTGAAAAGACTTTGGAGCTTTGGTTGTGTTCATGGGGCTCAACTCCTACACATTCACCGTTACAGGTTTTGGAAGGTCTTCGCACCGTTTTCAACGAGCGACTTAGGCGGATTTTGTCTGATCAAGCTAAATCGCTCGGCACCTTTGGCCATACTGTCGCATCTGTGTTGTCGGGCTGGGAGGAGCGAGAACACGCGAGGTCTCACTCACTCTGGGATCATGAATTAATGTCTCTCGATTATTCGAATGGTGCTGCTACTTTCAAACAGACAATTGCAGATAGGCTTCTTGGCAGGGACGAGGATATTTCCGATGTCCTCAAGAAATACCAAGACTGGCTTTCCTTGATCGAGACTTCCAAGCAGTCTATTGATGAATTGCGACGAGTACGCTGGACGGACGTTCTGGACGAAAACGAGGACGGGGATGTCGACATCGACACTACCGCCACCTTGAATGAAGACGATCCGCAATTATTACGGGAAGCGCTCGATTCAGCTGTCAAGTCTGCGTTTGATGCTCTCGACTCCGCGTTTAATGATATATTTAAGAACTTCGGCGCCTCGCCCCAGAACGGCAAAGCTGCATTTATGTTAAAGCTTATTAGACTGGTGCGGCGCGACCTACCAACGGATTTCGATAATGGCGGATTCGTCCTCTCGAAGGACATTGTCCCTCAATTGCAGGAGATGCTTGCCAACGAAGTGTTGAAACAGACACATCCGTTACGACTGGTTCCGGGCTCTGTGGCCAAGATTCCCAGAGTGCCAGGGCGAACACTTTGGGAGGGCGATCCAGAATCTCCTGTACAGCCGTCTCCATCTACATTCAAGTTCCTCCGCCGACTCGTCGAGTCCATGGATGTACAAGGCCCAGGGCTTTGGGATATTTCCACCATCAAATTTCTCAAAAGCGTCACGCAGACAAAACTGTCCAAATCTATCACCTCTGCTCTTGAGGCTTTGGATTCTTTGTCAACTGCCACTCACGAAAATTCTGCCAATAACTCGTCAGAAGAGAAGAGCGCCTACAAGGACGAGGACGAGAATGACAGTCAATCATCTGAGAAAGCCAACCAAGAAGAAAAGCAAGAAAACGAAAGCACTAGCGAAAGAGCGGCCCAGGATCTTCATGACTGGAAGCTCCAGTTATACTTCGATGCAGCCTATCTGAAGAATGCGTTGGCTTCCAAGGACCAGGAGAGTGAGGAACTGAAAGCCGTCCTTGACAGGCTTAGTAGCGAAATTGCGTCCAGTGCGAAATCTGTCAAGCCTATGGATCATGCTGCTGCCGAATATTGGAAACGCACCCAATTGTTACTGGGGCTTTTGTCAGTGGGCGCTGAGCAATAACTTGCCCGGTCTGCGTCTGGGGTTGGAGTGGTCTCTACTGTGAAAATGCTATAGAGCTGTACATTTTGGAGGGTGGAATTGTATATAGAGCACAAAAGAAGCCATCGGCATCATAGAAATGAACGTATTCCTCAGGCAATCAGGCCGCAAAGGGAATTTCCGCGGAGGATCTTCACCGCCCACGTCACGTTCCCGGCCGGCGTGACGACTTCGCCGCGGGAAATTTAATTTCAACCTGGGCAACCTCATGCTTCCTGTTGGCCTTTTGCTTGACTGACACTCCTTCAACACCGTTCGTCATGGCTGCCCCGAGGCTTCCATTCCTTTATCCGCAGTTTATGCGCTCAGTGCGCTCGTGCGAACCGACAACCTACCGATCCATTCGAATCCCCTCCACTCCCTCCTCGTCCCAGAAATCCCCCTTCCACTCCAGTCGGCGGAGAGCGCAAGAAACGTCATACAACCGACGATATGGCCCTGCTGCTGAGGCGAATTTGCCTCCTCCCGCGCGGCCTAGAGACGAGGCTCGCCATCCCCCGACTCCGCCGGTGCCAAAAGACAAGAGCAACACGTCACCGCATACCCCTTCCCCACCTGAGAAGGTGCTCTCCGAAGATGCCAAAAATGACGCCATGGATACTTCCTCCCGCCTCAAGAGCTCCAGCCCCGCAGAAGCGAACGATAAAAAGTCCCCGGAGAAGCTAGATCCCCGGGAAGAACCTGCTGCGTCCGATGACCGCGATGTCGCCTCCGCATCTCCGACCCCCGGCGAGAATTCCCAACGAGAACGGCAGTCGAAGGCTTCCTCCCAGTCGATCCCCTTCGACGGCAATCCTCTCGAAGGTGTCCTTCACATGCCTTCGCCCTCGTCGTATCTAACACCATCCGGGTTGCCCTCGTCAGGCGAACACCGTCCCCACTTTACCCCTGCGCCTTATGTCCACCACTTTGACTCATATTCCCTTGTCCGCGATCTCTCGACGGGCGGTTTCAGCGATGACCAATCCGTGACCATCATGAAGGCAGTACGCCATTATCTGCAGAATAATCTCGATTTCGCGAAAAACAACCTGACTTCCAAATCCGACGTCGAGAATGAATCCTACTTGTTCAAGGCGGCCTGTTCGGAACTCCAGTCGTCTCTCGAAACGGCCCGAAGCTCAGAAATGCAGCGGCAGCGTGCTTCCCGGACACAGCTACAGCACGAATCCGATATACTATCGCAACGCTTGAACCAAGAGCTCGCGGGTTTAAAGGATGACATCAAGGGCATGTTCAACGATCACAAGATGACTACTCGAGAGCAACAGCGAAGTATCGACACCTCGGTTCAGGAACTCAACTACAAGATCACGGTTTCGTTGAACAGTGACGGTAAAAGTGAAATCGAGGGGCTTCGGTGGATTTTGACCCGACGGGCTGCTCTGGCCGTTGCGACAAGTGCTTGTAGGTTTCCCTTTCAGATCCTCACTCGCCGGCTTTGCAATATACTAATCTATTATCATACAGTCATGATCATCCTGTTCCTCAAGTACTACTCCGTCCGGAAAACGCACGACGGCGCGGAAAAGAAAAAAGAAGTCCCAGTCAAGCAAACGGCCGAAAAGGTGGTCGTCCAAGACCCGGCAGTTGAGGCCGTTCATCCAGTTCCAGAGCCCCATCTGGGCGAGTCTCTAGGCTGAGACATCATCAGCTCTTAGAACTCGCTTTCTCTCTCTCCTTACAGTATAACATCGCCCACTACTAAATTTGTATATCAGTTTCCTTTTCCCTCTGTCTCTAGACTACTACTACACGTGTATCCGGTGGCATTCAATTATAGACTCTCTCGGTCGGTTTTCACTTGATTATACATACATACGGTGTACACACACAACATATATCTTCATAGGTCATAAATGATTTCCTTTTTCTTTCTTTTCTAGCCTTTCCTTTCTCTTCTTCATGCTATATTCCCGATACCCTCAGGATACTTACTACCCACCTCCATCCTTATTTTATCTACCCCAATTCCTATAAACCGAAGACCGCAAAAAAAAAAAAAAATTTATATAGACTCGAACAAAATAAAACAAAACAATGAAATCATATCATATCAACATTTCACTCTAATATACTACTAATGTTAAAAGTTTGTCTATCGTATGTATTCATATACGCAAAGGCTTGCCATGTTTGACATGGCATGCTCAAGTAAAAGGAAGAAAAACACCTCAGGTATAACTCGCCATCAAAATCATCCACAGCGTTTATAGTCTCGCAAGCATTTAAATGCGTTTTCGTCGTCAACTCGACTTTTTTTTTGGTGACGTCGAGGGGGAAAGAAAGCACACAGAGAAAAGAATAGAAATGGGGGGAAGGGGTAAAGGGAAAAAAACCATATAAGACAATCATTAAATCAAGAAAACAACAAATAGGGGGAAAGAAGTAGTGGCAAGCTAGGTTGTGTTGAGTTGAGTGAATGATCTAAAAATCCATCCTCAACGCAATACTAGGCATAGCCTGCTGTCCACCCGCCTGCGCGCTGTCTCTCGCGCTCTTCGTAGCACCGGCGTCAGTCTCCACGCTGCGAAGAATCTCCTCAAGAAGGGACTTCTGCTCCGGCTGCATGGTGGCCACGAGGGCGCGGAACACGGCCTGATTGGTCTTGGCGAGGTCGAGGAGCAGGACAGCGGATTCTTTGTAGATGGGTGTTCCTTCGCGTCGGGCGCGCGCAAGGAGGGTGGACATCATGAGGGACAGGGCGGTTGGGACGTCAGCGGCCGTGCCGACGTAGGAGACGAGAGTACGCGCGATGACGGCCCGCGAATTCTCGGGGTCATTAGGGATTTCGCCCAAGGAGGTTGGGCAGCCGACGAGGAAGCTGATGAGCTTGGGGAAGAGGTAGCGGGCCACAAGGTCGTCAGTGGGCGATCTCGGGGTGGGGGTGAGGAGGATGGAACGGAGGCAGCCGGCGGCGACGTTGGCGAGACCAACGTCTTGGAGGCAGTCGAGGAATTCGTCCAGGATTTGGATGATGACAGGGTCCTGAGGCGGGATCACGTGGCTTCCGGTTGTTAAGAGGATCGTGATCGCCAGGAGGGTGTTCTTTGCGCAGGGCATCGAGGACTCAGATTCGCGGCGCTGGGCGATGGTGAGAGTGGTAAGGAACCGGGTGAGGCAGCCGCGCATCTGACGGGAGATGACGCTGAGGTTGTCGGAGTTTCGGTTGCTGCTGCTGATGCCGGCAATGAAATGTTTGAAGATCGGAAGAGCTTGAGGCACGACCTGGGCTTGACAAAGTCCTGTGGCAAGAATGGTGCTGAAGATGTGGAGGATACATGCGTTGAGGTCATTGCGGATGATCGAGGGGAAAATGGATGCCACGTTGACCAGCGATGACAAGGAGAGCCGGATAAGGGACAGCGAGTCGTCCGATCCTACGTTGAATCGTGCAAGCGGCGAGTTTTCGCGAAGGTTGGGCAAGAGCCCGGCCAGCACAAGGATGATGCTTCTCGTCAGCTCAAAGAGCTGCTCAATGTCATCAGAGAGATGATCGGTTCGGTTTTCGCTGCCCTTCGCAGAGGGGTGGTCGAGAGACAGATTTCGTGCAATCTCAACAATCACGTTTTGAATGGGGAACCCCTCGGTCAGCACGAGACGGTCGAGCGAATCCATGGTCTCTGAGAAGATGGCGTCTTGGTAGATTGCATTTCCGGAGATGATAGGCCGCAGAATCCTCTTGAGAGCCTGTAGAATTTCCAGTCTCTGGGGTGGCGTCGTAGATTGGTCAACCAGAGCTTCAAAGGCCAGACCGAAAAGGACGAAGAAGAATGCGACCGGTTCATCCCGATAATTGATATCATGGCCTTTTCCTCCGGCTTCTTCCTTGGGTGTGTGCTGTTCATCCTCTTCGTGTTTTTCGGGCTCCGCGGGTTGAGATTTCCCATCCAGCGCGTCGAAGACAAAGTCAATGTCTTTCTCCACCAGACCGGCAATGGCATCAACAAGGCTCAGCCAAGTATCTTGGTAGAACTAGTGTGAAATTAGCTTTGAAGAAAACATGTTTGATTGCTTAGTAACGGGGTTTGCTCACCTTCAAGAGAGTCTCTCGGTTCAACGCAGCGTAAACCTCATCCAGATTGTTGCTCAAGGGACCAGTACCCAAGCTCCCGGAGATATCTGGCTCAAAGCGCAGCCGTGCGTATTCTTGAAGGGACGAAAGCCACAACGGGGTAAGTTTCACAAGGTATGGCTGAACGACCTCATTCAGATATTCCTGGTCAATACTGGCGATTTGTAGCCGAGCCCAAGCGGAGAACAAGGCCATCTTGACCATGACTCTCGCGTTAGAGTTCAGGCCCTTCAGGTCTCCTATCTCAGTGGTATCGGGATTTTCTGGGAAGCGTTAGCGATAAATCAATCAACAATCATAGAGCGACACCTACTCGAGAAGTTCTCAAGACCAAGCACCAAGAGTTTGAGAATTCGGCCCATCCGATCTACATTGGTCACTATGCCGGTGGCAATAAAAGTGGCAGAAACATTGATTGCTTCCGATGCAAGCTCCGGCGATGAATCCACAGCAAATGCTGGGGTGAGAGCCGAGCCAATTTGAGCCTGATATTGCTCGAGGAGAGATGCTTCGGCAAAGTCTGGGTCAGGAGTTTTACCAAACATCTAAGATAATTCATTAGTGATAAGAGAGAAGGCATGTGTTTAACGATGGAGACTCACCCTGAGAACTTGATCGAGGATCTTCAGGCCCCAGACGCGCAGTTCGATCACGCTCGCTGTGGACGCCGAGAAGGCCATGCGAACGATGTCCCCAACGTTTTGCTGCAGCGCGAGCTCGGCCGGGATTGTCTGGTCCGGAAGGATTGCGGCATTGATCGTGTCCAGGAGTTCGCTGAGACAGCCCATGACGAAGTTGCGAGTCTGCCACTTCAGAAGTTCCTGGCCAGCCACGGTGTCATTCGCATTGTCATGTTGTCCTGCTCCAGCAATAGCAGAGGCAAATCCTGCAACCTCATCGTCAGGCACGTCGTTGACAGCGGTTTTGATAGTAGACGTCGCTGGGATGTCGTCCAATTTAAGACGAGTCGTCGTCAACGTATTGTGGCAACGCTGGATCCATAGCTCGGTCTCTACAAGAGCAGTCTGTTGCAACCAATCTTGGATCATGTTTCTAAGTATCGAGTTGTCGGGCGTATCGTCAAAAGCAAGCCAGATTTCCTCCTCGAGGGTAGGCGAAGCTGTCTTAATGACCGACACCGCATCACGCTTCATGAGGTTGCTCAATGCTCGAATTGCCACGTCTCTCATCAGGGGGTTGTTAGAGGACAGCTCGCTCTGCAACCGGTTGACGTAGCCAGGAAAGTCTACATATCCCGGTGCATACAATGACAGGTGGTCTAGACATTTGGAGCTCTCGGTGACCAGAGCCGGGTTGTCCTCTAATTGGAATTGGCGAAGAAGAGTGAGGATGAGATTGCGCGTCTTTGCAATATCCTGGAGGTCAGGCCCCAAGACGTTGATCATAGAATCAACACAACGGCTAATCAGCACAGGCGTGAGGAATGAGATTTCGATATTAGAAGTTGCCAATGTCGCTGACTCCTCGTTGTGGGTATCCGCATTGTAGAGCTGGGCAAGCATGCCGAGGGAACTAGAGACGAAGGGCGAGAAGGTCAATCCGGCGGAGTTGGCAACTCTTTCCAGGCCTCCGAGTGCCCAGAAATGGACCACAGGGTGAGGGTCATTGCACAGCGACATCAATACGCCAACGATGGTCTTCAAATGCAGTCCGGCTGCCATACCACCAACCTGGGAGTGGATACAACCCAACGCAGCGGCACACCCGGCACGAGTGTTAGGCTCTCGGTTTTCAACGATTGTATCGACAAGCCAGTTAATTTGGGTGCTAGTGAACGTATTTCCAGAGCTATCGCAGAGTCTTCCGAAAGCTTCGACACCAATCGTCCGAACAATTGAGTCGGGGTCGGTAACGAATTTCTATTTGGGTGGAAGGGTTAGCTATTTCCATGTGAGAACTTGTAAGATTACATACCTGTAGCAGCTCCTGCAAGACTTTGTCAGTCGCGGGGTTGAGTTTCCCAGCAGACCCGGTATCTCTGGCAGCAGCCTTCAGAGCATGAAGCAATGCCACCGCGATGTTTACGATCATAGCGGCTTTACGACCAAGGTTACGCTGCAGACTGGGAGATGAGAGGAAAGTGGCGATTTGCTCGATACTGCTCTCCTGCACCCGAGGGGCATGGAGTGGTATAGCAACGGCAAAAAGCTCGACGGCTGCGTTGACAACTCCGGTAGAATGCGGGTCAGCAAAGTCGCATCCATTTTTACCAGGCGAATATAGCAATAGCGAGTCGTGTTCGCTTGCTTGACAAATGGGGAAGGTCAAAGCATCATCGATAGCTTGGTCTGCAGAGTCTACGGCAGACCAAGCAGGACCATTGTCATTCTCATCTTTTCCAGTAAGGCTCACGCGGACATACTCCCTGGCCAGGCCTGACACACCAAAGCCAAAGTTATCGCACAGATCCCACAAAGATTCGAATTGGGCGGTGGATGCCGCAATAGAACTCTCGATATGAGCAGTTTGAGTGGCGTCGGGGTCCGCAAATGAAGAAATGGCGAGGCTCAGAAGACTGGTCTGAGAGATCACGTCGGCATGGCTCAGCGGGTGGACATGGAGAAGCTTGGAAAAGCACTCGAGCACGCGCCGTCGAACCATTGTCTCAATGTCATGAAGCTGCAATGATGGGTGCAAACGCTGAGAAATATCATTTACAGACTTCTGACGAGGCATGTCATGGAGGAAGGTGACAGTGTTTTCTAGCATGGCAGCTATTCTCCTCGCGCCGTCCGCCGTAATCAATTTGCTATTGAACTCCATAAACACTAACAGTGAGCCCAAAGCACATTCTCTAACGTGTGCGAGGAAGCTCATTTCCAGAGTCCCACGCTGGGCAAAGTTCTCCTTGCCGAGATGCTTGGGAAGGGCATTCTTCCAGAGCAGCATCAACTGTGACAAGTGAATCTTCACGAAACTCGGACCAAGCGGCATCAGTCCTCCGATCAAGATCCAGGCCACCTGGATTTGCGTACTTGCGGCACGTAGTTCGGAGTTGCTGCTCGTTTTCAGGAGGTCGGTGGCCTGAGTAAACACACGGGAGAACACATCGACGGATCCATAAAGCGGTTGCAAACGAGATGTACTCAGCATTGCCGATAGGCCATTCGCATAGCCAACACAGCGGCGAGGGGCCTGCCGAGGGGTGGAGAGTTGACCAACCTCCCTGTTGAGGCTGTTGAGGCAGATCGTAACGCATGACAAAAGCTGGTGAGGGCAAGCAAGGACGAAGCTGCGTAGGCATTGCGCGGCATGGATCTGAACGGTATAACTAGGGTGAGGGAGAACCTGGAGTAAGGCTTCATGGCATTGCTCGGCCAAACTTCCAAAGGCAGAGCCGAGGCAAGTAATCAAAGAGGACAAGGCACTGAGGGCGCTAGTCAGTGTGTACTTGCTAGGCTCACGGCGCTCCTGGATGACTTGTGGGTAGTCCTTGATGATTTCGTTGATCAACCACTTAGCAGCATTCGATTGACTGTTTTCGCGCAGCGATTCGCGGCCAACTGTGTCTTCCAAGATGCTCTTCACAAACTTCCTAGTCATAAGCAGCCTGAACCTGTTGTACGTGACTGTGGGATGGTTGAGAAGCTCGAAACAAAAATGGTTTGCGATCTCGCCATAACGCTCTTCGATAAGCTTCTCTCCGAGTATACGAAGGACGTGTTTGTAGCACACCGCAATGGCCGCCCGCGAACGATTGGTAGTTGTGCTCCGCAGGTATTGGCTTGACAGCTGACGAAGGAGATCAGGTAATAAGAAGAACAACCGGGCCTCCGATTTCTTCGGTGCGGAGGCCTCCGAGACCTCAGCCTCTTCCTCGTCCTCACCAGGCTTCGGTGCGGGTTTCTTGGACATCCTCTTCGATTTCTTTGGTTTCGGTGCTGCCATTATGCGCGAGTCGGTAGCGTGCAGCTTGGCTAGCGCTCGAGCAAGACAAGCGGCGGCGGCATGTCTGACCGGGGCCACAGGACTATCAAAGACCTTCCAAACCACCGCTTTCAGGTTCTCGAAATCGTTCGCATTGTCGAAGAATGGCGTCGTATTGACCAACTGCTCAAGGACCCGGCAAGCGTGCACCTGAACGAACGTCGACTTGTCTCCCGTCGCCGCATTCCGAGCCTGTTTCCAAATGTCTCGAGCGGTACCTTCGTCCACAGGAACCCCGGCTCCGACAACCACCTTGCGCAGGACCGCAAAGACCGTACCCCGTAGACCCGTATGGTTACTGGAATTCTTCAACAACTTAAGCAAGCTGAAAATCACCACGCCAGACTGCGCGAAGACACTTTCACCTGCGACAGCGAAGACCTCCCCCAGACAATGGACAGCGGCGAACTTGGTCTTCAATTCCGCTTCACTTTTCCCAGCATTTAAGGCCGCCAGTAGCTCCGTAACCGTTTCAAACAATATCCCGCGATCGCCTTTGCTGAATATGGCTCCGAAACATCGGCCGAGATTGTTGCGAATGACGCGCGTGATCGTAGGCGAGGAGAGCGTCAGGATCTTGAATAGCTCCTTCTTGAGGAACTTCTGCTGAGCCGAGACCTGAGTCCGATCTAGGGCGGAGATGTGCTGGACAAGCTCCGAAGTGAAGGTGAGCAGGTACAGGTCTTGCTGTTCCGAGGGCAGCGCATGGAGTTTGGTGGTATCCAGTTCCGCACGGGGAGGCGCATTGTCGGCGGCAGTAGTAGATGCAGCTGGGTCGGACGAAGACATTGGATGCGAGGTTTCCGACTAGGGGTCACCCATACGGTCCCCCAAAAGGAATATTGAAACAAGGGCGAAAAAGAAAGGCGCTTTAGGGACAAGAAACAAAAAGTCTGGACCGGAATGACGCCGTGGATGGGGCCCCTTTAAGGGAGTGGAGGAGCAGTTTGGCCTCAACTCCGGGGGGGGGGCCGCTGCGCGCGGAGAAACCGTCGGTCCGGCTCCGCAACTGCGGCCGGCGTTCCAGACTGTCACGGCCTGTTTGCGGTTGCGACTGCTGCTAGAATTCGTACTGCCTGCCTCGATGGAATCCATAATGCTCAGAAGCCTGCGACCCTGGCACACGCGTCCATTTCAGGGATTATGCCAGCCCTGCCGTAGCCTGACAACGAGTGTCCCGCGACTGTCAGGTCACAATAAATGGTCTACGATCAAACATGACAAGGCAAAGAATGACAAGGCAAAGGGCAGGGAGCGCGGACTCGTGAGCAAGGAAATCAGCAGTGCGACGCAGAGTATGCTCCCCCAGGATTCTGTCTATATCCTTCTGTCTTCCTCCGGCTAATTTTCTCCTTTCTAGGATCGGGCCCGAATCCGAAAGACAATGCCCGTCTAGTACAAGCCCTTGCGAATGCGAAGCGGATCGGACTCCCCAAACACATCATCGATACTGCCATCGCTAGGGGTCAGGGTATCAGTCTTTCTGGCAAGGCTCTCGAAGCGATGACGTGCGAAGCCATGTTGCCGCACTCAGTTGCGGTGGTGATTGAATGCCAAACGGATCTAAAAACCCGGACTCTGCAGGACGTTCGCCATGCCATTAAAACTCGCGGTGGAACCTCCACGCCTACAACGTTTCTCTTTGAGAAAAAGGGCCGAATAATTTTTGAGAAAAAGGACGGTCTCGATCCCGATGACTACATGGAACAGGCTATCGAGGCGGGTGCCACGGACATCGGAGCAGATGAGGAAGGCCGACTCTATGTACTCACCGAGCCGGCGGGCACCAAGAGCGTGGGTGAATCCCTTTCCAAGCTGACTGGCCTAGCAGTTGACGTATCCGAAATCATCTGGGACCCGAACCCGGACACCCTGGTGGAATTGAAGACTGAGGAACAAATCAAAGAGACCGAGGACACAATAGCTTTCATCCGGGAAGTACCCGCCGTCCAGGACATATATCTAAACACGACCCAGCGATTCTAACAAGGAACGTAACTTCATTGTGCACATACACCTTTCCGAGCACAACCTGGCGTTTAGTTTGAGATCCATTGCTGTATAATAGGCGAAGAACCAACACTGTACAATTTTGCGTGTCTGATAAATCTGGTGTCCAGCTGAAGGCAGAAGGGAGAAATATGGACAATACTTACACTAGTGGAGGGTTGATATCGTAGACCATTGAATGGTGGTATTCATATTCATCTAATTATAGCGGATTGACTGGCCGGCGTCTTTGCACTGGCAGTGATTTCCAGCCATCAAGTTTTTCGCAATGCCTTCATTGTGCTGCGCATCAAATTTCCAATCCCAACACTTCCCGTCGCATCTAGCCAATCGAGCATCCTTACTCTATATTCCTGCCATGGGATCTTGATACCCCCCTCCTTCTCCAAAGCACTCAGTGCTTTTTGAGTCACGGGTCTCTTCAGTCGTGGCTGGTCTTCGCTGACGCTATTCTGCTCTTCTATATCGGCAAAGCAAGCGGCGGACATGTTGCACAATGCAACGTGGTGACTAAGGGAGGACGCCGACGCTACATTGTACCAAAATGCCGCCTCGGGATCGCTTTCTTTCGACACATCGTTCACCTCTCGAATGTATCTTGCCAGTGCGTTGGTAGTGGGACTCGGCATCAAGCAGCCCAGCGCATTTGGATCCTCCAAGTTGAACCCACGGTTTCGCCAAACAAGGTTGCAAATGTCCATGATATAGCCATTGAACTGACCCACGAGCTGTGTAGGGTATAGTGAATCGGTAGATGTCGGGGTTTGGAGTACCTTAGACGTCAAGGAGGCTTCAAAAGCTGCCTTGTAGTTGGCAAGGACCGAGCTGAAGATGGAAATCACCGAGCCGATTGGTGTTAAAACAAGGGAGTAGACAGTAGGAGCCAGAGGAATGGTAAGGCGAATGCTACCGTTCTGAGCCGCATGAGAAAAGAGTTCGCCTAGGACGCAATAAAGCTCGAGAACCGACAATGTGCTTGGTTTTGAGTTCTCCGTTTCGGTGCTATGGGGCTGTTGCAGTGTTGCTGAGCATTCCAGTACCGTTAGTGCCAAAAGCTCCGCATGTGAAATAAGACGAGCTAGAGGCTTTGCTTCCTCCAGAGTGAAGGGTTGTGCTCTCAGATTGACACCCCATTGGCGAATTAAAGAGGTGTAAAAATCAAGCAAATTGTTCTGCGATGGAGGCGCATGTCGGACCGCCAATTCCAACCGTGATAAGAACTCAGCTCGTATGGTCTCGTACTCGTTCATTGGAATATACTCCAGGAGGGCAAATATTTGCTCCCTGTGGTCTCTACCGTTCCAGAAACGCAGATATATCTTCAAGAACGAAATGATCATCGGAGGCATATCCTACGCCGCTGCTTAGTGGCCAGTTCGGAGATCTTCATGAGCAGTAGAACATACCTTTGTGTATCGTACATACTCGACCAAGAGGCTCAATACGTAGCCTAGGGATTCGTTCTCATCATCTTCACCATCCTGGGCACTCTCCATTTTGTCGACCAAAAAGGCTTTCAGCCAATCGTCCAACCGACGGACTGCAGCTTCCGGCTGGGCCAAATAAAGGTATTTTTGGGCCATGTTATCTCCAAGGGTGGAAATTATCTGATTAGGCAGCTCGATTTTGTCCAACTTCTCAACAAAGTGGCCAACATCCCGCAATTCCTCCAAAGACGTGTGATTGTACGATACCCGAGATGTCTGCATAGCGGGGACGACCACCTCCAATTTGCTCCTCTTCGTCAATCCACGGTGGACTGCCTGGAATGTTGAAGGCTGAAATGCCTGCGTTCTTTCTAAATTAGTATCATGGAGGTGCCTTGCATGGCCAGACCACTCGGGGTCTGGGTGCTTGAAAAATAGCGCCTTGCTGCCAGACACGCCCAGATCTCCCACAATAACATCGGGGTAATAGTTCTTGAATGTCTTCAGTAGCGTAACTAGCTCTTTCTCGTCTCCACCAGAATTGGCGACCAGTTCCATAAGGGACTGAACTCTGAAAGGTCTCACATGTTTCCGTCTGGTGATGAGAGAAAGCAAATGACACAACGGTTTACGCAGACTTATCATGTCAAGATAATTGAACAGCACCGCATAAAGCTTTGCTAAATGAGCCTTCTCATCGAGGAAGTCATAAACCAGAATGAGCCATCGCAACAGCAAAGCCTGCGTTGCAGGGGCGGGTTTGGTCTTGCTGGGACCAAGACAGCACACAACCTGCGTGACTATTTTGGACGGCACTCGCTCTGAAGGGTACAGATTCTTGATCAGAGTGGTGGTTGTGCCTTGATCCAGTTGACTTCTGGCCGTGAGGACCTTGACCAAACGCTCAAGCGTCACCGAAGGGATGCCGCTCTCGTAGGCGTGAGAAGCGATGATTTTGCCCAGCTCGCCGGCATCTGTGTACCGTTGCTTGGAAGGCACAAACGCAACTGTCCAGCGTCAGTCAAGAGGTGACTAGTGGTCTCTTCAATCCATAAACTGTCTTACCTGCCTCAAGATGCCTAACTGCATCTTGCAAGCTCTGAGGCTGATGCTCTATGGTTAAAATGTCAACAATTTCGCTGTTCAGTAATTGGAATGGTCTACAAACCTGTATCTGGTTCGGATGACATTTGGAATTATACGCGACGCGGTCCCCAAGGTCCCGCACCCGCTGTAGGTCTCGGCGATGTAAATCGAGGCGCCCTTTAGATGGTTCGGATCCTAGTTACACGCGCCGCCCGTCGCGTTGTTTTGCCTGAGCTACCCGGTTTAAGCCGTACAGATGCCGAGGCTCTGAATTGAGAGATGCCCCAAAAGAAAATTAGAACAAAATTGTGATGTCCAATAAACAAGATTACACAAAACGGATTAAAGGATTGGATGTTGTTCGTTTCCCGCGCAACTCGGTCGGTCGATGCGATGGTGAAGATGAAAGCGACCGTCGCGGGAAGTGCCAAGTTCAAATTCGGTTCGATGCCAACTGGACTCGGCCTCAAACTTACCCCAGATCCATTAGAGAATGTGGATTGTAAGAGACAAATTACAAGAAACACGCTGCTCCTGTTTCATTTATGTGTCATAACTGGTCTTTATACTACATAATATATCTTTCTAAAAGCCAAGTATCTGTCATACCACTCGAGTCGGGATAGACCCAGCGATCGAATAGCATTCTGCGGCGGCCACAACTGAGAAACAAAAAGCTAGCAAGAACTTCACAAAGCCACACAAGTCACCAAGAACCATGACACTGACAAATTACTTTCTCTTCCGAGTGGACTTGGAACTCTCCTTTCCGGATGCCCGAGCGGACGCCTCTGGCTTGGGTGGCTCCTCCGGTTTAGCATTCACCTCCTCCTCAACGTCACTGTCACCTCCCTGGCCAAATTCATTGACACGCTTGTAGTCCACCTTGTACTTCCAGCCCTGGTAAAGCCAGACGAAGAAAATGATATCGTCCCGGAAGGTGGCAAGTCGATGAAGCCACGGCATCTTGACCGTGAAGGCGAAGAGATCGTCGATGAAAGTGTTGAGGAATTTATAAGTCAACGCTTTTCCTGGCATATGAGCAACAGACTAAGTGAAAGTTAGTTAGATCCATTCGCCAACACTGCCGCGGGATGCGCTCACCTTCAGTCGGTAGTTAATATACAGACTCGGCACCATCATCAGAAAACCGTACGCATAGACGCTGCCGACCAGAGTCTCGATGACGTAGGAGTACCACGACTTATGCGTGTTGTAAATCAAGCTGTACGCAGCGTACGCAGCCAGGAGAGGTACGGCGAGGATGTAAAGCCAGCGGAAGGCGATCTCATCGTACTCTTTGGTCTTCTGCTCCGTATCGCTAAGCTTGTGCTTGTCTTCGAAGACCACAACGTACGGCAGGAAGGAAAAGAAGGAGTTGGTTGGTGGCGGCCGGAGGCGCACATCCACCGTCTTCGTGATTTTCCACGCTTCCAGAAGAATACCAAAACCTTGACTAGCGAGGATCATCCACGAGGTGTTCTCGCTGTTATCCATGAGATAGAGGAAGATAACCGCTTGCATGAAAACATTAGCCAAGATGGTCCGGACAGACGTTCCAACGACATCTTTCTTCTTGCGCCAGTGAGACTGTTATGTGTGCACACTCGTTAGCCATATCAAGAGTGGGGTTTGCATGGATCAGTAAAGCTTACGATATCATTTTTGAAGGCCAGAGTTTCAAACACCATATGCAGAATAGTGACCACGCCGGTGGTGCCCAGCAAGTAGATGTTGGTGTTGAGCAAAACCTCCTTGATCATCTCAAATTCACTTCCGTCGCCACCTCCCGGGGTGGAAGCACCATAGGCAGCTTGACGAGCAGTCTGCTTCGCGCTGTCGTCGACGCTAGCCATCATACTGAATTTCCAATTCTGGAGGTTGTTGAGGGTGATGCGCAAGGGAACGGTGTCGACGGTGGAGTTGAGCTCCATCATGTGGCTTCGAAGCTGCCAGAAGGTGTTCAGGAAAACGATGGGGTAATACCATCCATTTTTACCGGAGATATCTCTTGCACCAGTAGCCTCAAGCTGCAGGTGTTGCCGGACAGCGGGGTGCACCTGACGATACTTCTGAACTCCGGAGTCGGGAATAAAGGACACAGTAAAATTCGGGTGGTAGTAGGATGCGGTGGAAACATCGGGCGTAGTATCCTCCTCCTCCTCCTCCTTCTCTTCGCTGCCGGTCAAGAGGTTCTTGAGCTTCTTCGCCTTCTTCTTGGGGAGGTACTGGTTGAGCGGACGGAAGAAGTGAATGGCCTTGTCGGTGCTGTAGTCCTTAGCGGAAGGGTCCAGCTGCTGTCCGGAAAGGCCGAGGAAGAAGTGCGCAAACAGAGTTCCGTTTTGCTGAGCTTCCTTGGGGACTTTGATGATGGTGTCAATTTCCCTCGTGTCGCTGTAATTCCCAATAGTGAAGTTCTTCTCCGAGAGCACTAGGGTGCTCGACCGCTGTGACTTGTGCGTGGGGACAAACACCGAGGGCGAAACGTAGATGTTCATATCCAAGGGACTATCGACAGGCCATATCGGGGCAATCGAGTCGGGGATAGGGCTGTAGTTCTCGATTTCGCTCCTAGCTGGACGAGTACTGAAATCGGTAACGCCACCAGGTTTTCCACCGGCGTCAGTGCTCTGCTGCTTTCCACCCAGAAATTGACTAGCAAGGGCCTGGATCAGCAGGAAGAAAGCCAGGCCCTGGAGGGCCCCCCTGAAACCGGACTGTAAAAGCAGCCAAAGTCAGTCAGTCAGCGCGACAAATATTTACAGACAATGGTAAACAGTATACATACGCTTTGGGGCTCATCCCTGCGCTCCTGTTGTTCAGGCATGATAGGAAGCTCTGCGTGTTGAAACCCGATCCCTGCGACAAGGTGAGGACAATGGGGGAGGGAGGGAAGAGAAGCGAAAGAGAAGGCGAAAGAAAGTGCTTTCAAAGGGACGGGGGCAAGAAAAAGGCCAGACTTGCGCCCGCGCTGGTCCCGAAGCGGGATGGATTGGGAGCTTAGCGGGTCACGTCTTCTTATCGCCCGGGCGGAACGACCCTGCAGTATCTCCAGCTCTCTCCGGATTTCCATCCGCCCATCCCGCGTTAGACTAACACTGACACTCCGACTTCCGAGTCTACTGTTAACTTGTTAAGTCTACCCTCTTTATGGTCGCTACGCTATGGACACATCGGGCGCTTGATATGCGAATGCTGTCGATCTAATGGCAGAGAATCTCCCCTCCCCCGATTACTCCCGGCCCCAGTTTCCTGCCCACAATGAACCCCGGGTATGGATGATCACGGCCGGAGATTCGCCCATTGGGATCTCCGTTACCCGCCAGATTTTGATGCATGGCGACTGCGCGCTTGTTGGACTGGCCCACACCAACCTGGACCGGGATGAATGTCGCCGAGACGAATTCGATGCCTTCCTGGCGGAGATCGAGAGCCATCGTGAGGAGGGATGGACACAACGATTCAAGTCGGTTCCGTTGGACATAAGGTGCGACTGTGTTTGTCGGTTTTGGTGGGAAGACCACTGTTAAAACTGCAGTGTCAAGGGCTCACGTGTATTTCATGCAGAGTGGTGGGTGAATGCCAGGCAGCGGTTGCCGAGGCTGTTGCAACATTCGGCAAGATTGACATCCTTCTCGGTTGTACAAGCCAAGGTATGAGGTTTCTTCCCTTCAGTTGGTCGAATTGTCTATTGACTTGGTGCGAAGCCCTGGTTGGGACTGTAGAGGAGCTGGCGGCCTCCCAGCAAACTCTCAATCTAGTCCGGGACCAGTTCGAGATCAATTATTTCGGGCCCCTCAATATCATCAAGGCGGCGCTTCCTCATATGAGAAGACAGATGTCGGGGCATGTAATGATTATCTCTGGGATAAGTAAGGCATCAGCTAGCTGTTGAACAACGAGATTGTTATCTGACCAAAACCAGCGGCTCATATCGGAACACCGGGACTGGGGATGTACTGCGCAGCTGGCTGGGCGCTCGAGGGCTTTTGTGATGTGAGCATACCGTCCAAACAGTGTCACCCTGTTACTGACAAATTCTCCAGAGCCTTGCATATGAGATAGCGCCTTTCAACGTTAAGCTCACGATCATGCAATGCAGTATTGAGATTGGCATCCTCACAAACTTGGTAACCAGCGTACCCCCCATCGTCCCTGCATACTCTCCTCGCGCCAACCACGCGCCGCTATTCCGTGGGATCCTTAATCGACTTGTTCCCCGCCTCCCGCATACCCAGAATGGAGTGGACGAGTCTCGAAATCCCGGCCGAACCACTTCTGCCGAAGACGGGCCTTTCTCGGGCCCAGAGGTTCTATCGACGTATCCTCCACTCAGTCCCGCGCATATGGAGATCTTGGTCGCGGAGACAGTCTACGCAATCACTGCCATAGGAGGGCATGAAAATCCACCATCCCGTCACATCGTTGGGCAAGAAGGCGTTGCGAGTGTCAAGGAAAAGCTGAAAACCGTCAGCGAGGAACTAGAGGACTTCATCCAGTCCAGTTTTGCCGTCGATTATGCTGCGGATGAGGATCAAAATCGAGTCAAGGATGACAGTATAGGTGGTATTGGTCGGTCCCAACTGCCTTAATAGCGGCACTATAATTGTGTCACTCATTGGCACCTGGCGTGCCGCGACTGACGCCTGCACGTCGGAGCCGCCGAAGGGCGAGATGCCGAGACGCCTCGCACTCAAAGCGACGAGGGCGTGCAGGGTTCTATTGACGACTTCCATTGACAGGCCCGTGTGCCAAAGTCGATGTGAGCCGCTTGGTGCAGCGCCAGGATAATATGAAGCAGTTGGAGGGCGATTCAGAGGACAGACGGAGTGAGGACTTGGAGAGCTCCATCAGGGAGCTAATATTCGAGTATCATGCAATCTTCGTCATCATCATTGTGTCTATATGTATGTTCAATTAATGTATGATGTTAAAGTAGCTTGGGGCTATTGCGCTGCATGAGTGTACACTACCGAGTTTCCGTCTCTGAACCCATTGAATGTGTGTAGCGTTAAAATAGAATTAGGGATTGCCTCGATTGCTTAGGCAGTGATGGATGAAACCCAGATGGCCCGCAGACAGTTATTCGCATACTTGGGTGGCTGATCTGTTCTTGGAACTCACGAGGATTAGGACCCCAGATATGCACCGTATATCTTGAGCTAAGAGGCCCCGCTCAGATGGATCCCACACACTCCTAAGGAAGCAACTTCCCTGTTAGACAGAACGAGCAGGCACCATCACCTGCAGGTTTAGCTCTGGGAAATCGAGGCTTGCATCAATCCAATCACTCTATCAGGTACTGCTTCATTACATAACACTGGATATTTGGGGGTACGAACATGGTCTCTATCAACCGAAAGCCGGGTAGGTGTATAGACATAGTCTAACAGGGTGCCGAATAATTAGCACCCGTGGACCTTTCCCAATCAATCTATCTATCGATATTATCGATATTCTATTGAGCGGTTGGAGTCTGACTATTTGAATATCCGGCTATGTAGGCACCTGCCCCATTCACTTAAAGGAGTAATATAGAATTTTAGTTGGTTTCCTATCTAGCTGGTAAGTCCTTTCTCTATGTTCTCTGTGCTTGCAGGTCAGAGTCTTCGGATATTGATAGCCAACTAGTAATCCGAAATGGAGGGACGCAGTTGTTCTGTAAGTTTCTATGACTGTTCTGGGCTATTTCCTGGAAGAAACACCTCAGCTTCGCGTGTGAACGAGCCTTGCTAGAGGGGGTATTGAAAACAAAGGATCGAAAAGAAAAGAAACGAAGAAAAATTCCACTGGCAAACCCCCAAAAAAAAAACCCCCCAAGTCATGCCGTGGCCTAGTGAGTTCTCATAAACCAAGCTTGTCTGACCTCCCATAGACTACCCATATCTTGATTGTCCCGATAAGAACGAAATTCCTTCCAAGCGTTGCCATGAGGCATTTTTGTAATGCGGCCATCGAGCTCCACGATCTTGATAACAAGTGGATTGAGCGAAGTAATACCCGATACTGTTACAACGTCGCTTTCTTCAAAGGTGTTCGAAGGAGCAGGTCCTGCCTGCTCGCCCGGTCCAGATGTATTGGCTGGATGTGCCGAATCAGCCACAGCTTGATCATCATTCTTCGTCTCTGTACAGCTTGTGTTCGTTTCGTCGACTAGCGTAGCGGTCGTGTTTTCTTCGGCGGGCTGGCAGTCATTACTCTCCGGTGTGGTATCTGAATTCTGGTATCCAGTGTTTGAAGGTGCTTCTTGGTCACGAACCACAGGTGTTTCAGCCTTCTCGGCGTTCTGTGGCCGTCCTCGGCGCCGTTTCTGAACTGGAGCTTCCGCATCGAACGGGCCAGCGTCCGATTTACGTTTCTTAGACAAACCCATATCTATCGCTCCGTTTTCATTGGAAGGTACTTCTTCGTTCGTTGGCTGAGCCTGGTATGGTTCAGCCCCATCTGGTTTTAGTGTCGCAGATTCTGGCTGAGGGTTCGGTTTCTGAGCCTTGTCTGCTTCAGCCTCATCGGGTTTTGGTGTAGTAGGTTCTGGCTGACTGTTCGTTTCCGATTGTTTCGCATCTCCATTGCTATGGGAGAGGAACACGCGTTGACCAGAGGGGATGGTAAATGACAACCGGGGGCCATCAATTGATACTATCTATAGAAACATTTAGAGCAAGACCAGGGAGGACGGGTGAAATGGTGAAGCTGAACATACCTTGACTTCTTTTTCCAGCAATATTTTATTTGCGCCTTGACCAACACATCGTGTGTATTTCCAAACATCACCTTCACGGATAACCCCTTGCTCCGTCAGCGTTTGTAGTTTAACTTGGGCGCTTTGCCCTGCTGCCAGGTTCCGGTCGAAGGTCTGTTTCTGTCCCCAGAACTCCTCGTACTCTCGTTCTTTGAATTTGTCGAATTTACCCGCCGCTCGCTGCGCCGACGCTTCCTCGGCCTGGCGCAACCATTCCGGATCGTAGCGACCGCTTTCGAGATCGAGCTGAAATTGACGGATCCCGTCGCGCCAATTATTCGAATACCGCAAAAAGGTCTCCGGTAAAGGGGGTATCTTGGCATCCGGGTCATCCTCAGACGGATGAGGGTTCGGGTGTGCATCTTCGGGCAGTAAGCTCAGGATTTCTTTCTTCTCCGATTCCTCGAGATACTCCCAAGCTTCGGGGCGGGAAAGCAATTTCTACAGCCGCAAGCATGTTAGTGAATTAATCCCAGCTGGAGTTGGTCTGTAATGAGATCAATGCGACCCCAGTAGCGTGACACACTTACCACAAGATCCAAATTAACGAGCGGCGACTTGGAGCTCGTCATCAACCGTTCCTCCTCCCACGGATCTTTGGCGGACCGTCTTGGATTCCGCTTCGGTCTGGTATTCGTAGCTGACATCGCCGAGCTGGACTCGTTCGGGGCCGTCGTTTTGGCTGCATTAGCAGATTTAGAGGTCCGGCTCCTAGGACGGGATCATGATTAGTTTGTTGTTCGTGTTTTCGAGGGCAAACGATGCTCTTCAAGAGGATTCCAGGCTCGGGGGTGCCTTTGGCCGCGACGTACCTTGTCGCCGACGGCTTCGTATTGCCGGCACCGACCGCCTTGCGCTTGCGGGCCATGGTTCCCCGTCAATCTGGACAAGTAAAGGAGGTCAATCTGCACCGCGACAGCTGAACTACAGCCTGTGGGATACACGAGAGACGTGGAAACTCGGTAGGGTGAAAGGACAGCTCCAGCACGATGGTTAAATCAACTCAGATTGCCAGGCTCGATGGTAAGATTGCGCAAGTGAGAATCGAAGAGGTAGGAAAGCAGTGACAGTTGCTGATCGATGGTTGGAGTAGGCCTGATGTTGGCTGCGTCTGTGGACGATGAGCAGGTAAGGTTTTCCCTTTTTCTTCCATTCACTTCAGACCTTCATCGTCACTGGTACACTAATTCCCGGTTTCTCATGCAGGCTGAGGTTGAACTCTCCGAGATCAAGGGCCAGGCGAAGATGATCTTCCGGCGGTTGAGTCGCAATGCAGCGCCTCAGGCGAGCATTGAATCGGGCCAGTACAATCTACAGTGAGTCTTTCTTCATTATCTGCCCTTGCGGCCTTGCGGGGGATAGTGAATGCAATGGTCTGACCTATTGACGAAACTAGCTACCTAATCCAAGATGATATCTGCTTCCTGTGCATATGCGATCGCTCCTATCCGCGCAAGCTGGCCTTCACTTATCTCGCCGACCTCGCAACCGAATTCACCACGACATACTCCCCCGCGCAATACCAGTCTCCCAACCTGCGACCGTATGCCTTCGTTGAGTTCGACACTTTCATCCAGCGCACCAAGAAGCTCTACCAGGATAGTCGGGCCTCGCAGAACCTCGACCGGCTCAACGACGAACTCCGTGACGTGACCAAAGTGATGACGAAGAACATCGAGGATCTTCTGTACCGAGGCGATAGCTTGGAGAGGATGGGCGAGTTATCGGGGCGTTTGCGCGAAGACAGCAAGAAATACAGGAAAGCCGCGGTCCGCATCAACTGGGAGTTGGTGCTTAAACAGGTGAGTTCCTTTTGTCGCATCCTAAAATGACCAGCCGGGAAACCGCCACTCTGACATGCTATAGTATGGCCCATTTGCCGGGGTCGGCCTTATTTTCATATTCCTTCTCTGGTGGCGCTTCTTCTAGTTCTCTCGCGAAGCAGTTGCTTCTGGATACCCACTCGTCTGAATGTACACATAATTTCTCCGGTGGCTGCAGGACACCACTTTTTCCTTGCTCAAGCCTTTTGAGCTTTTTAAAACAATTGATGATCGATGAAGTGGCTGAAGACAGCCCACGGAACGCAAACAATGCTGGGGTAGGCGAGTCGAGGCGATAGATGTTGACATTCGTAGCGTGCTTGGTCGATTGCCGCGTGCGGAAAGTCTAGGCCGTAGTTTGTTGGGCATGGCACGACATACGGAGTAGATCAGGTCAAGCTGCCCCTTCTTCGCATCATGTAGCCGTGTATAGCCAGGTTGCTGCCACATACAAGAGGCAAGTCGTCTCGCGATAAAGAACAATCACTTCAACATAGCTCCCCATTTAGAGAATCTAAATCTCATCCTCTTCTTCATCAAAATCGTCCTCCTCTCCCATGTCGTATAGAATACGTCCACCCTCACCAGGACCGTCACCCTTCTGCGCATCAAAGTACGGCAGAACAACCCCCTCTCTATCCCTCTTCTGTTTATCGGTGAGACGCAATTCAAACGTCGATTCCGGCTCCTCTTCACCAGCTCCAGTATCAGGTTCCTCAGGAGGACGATACAACGGGTGGTCATCAAGAAGCGTAACAATCTCCTTGACTTGCGATGGCGGGTACTGAGAGGCAGGCGGCAGGTAATACCACTCCAACACGCCACGGCCGCTTTTCCGCCGATGTTCCATCTCCAAAACGACGCCCTCCGCTGACCCATTCCCGGTGTGCTTGTCCACTTTGCCGACAAGAACTCCGTCCTGCTCTTCTTCGAGTCCGAAAAAGGGCGCTGCCAGACTGCGGTCCCGGGCGGCTTTCTGGGTGAGAATGTGCGAGAATGAGTGGAGTCGGATGACGGTCGTTGCGAGGTAGGTCAATATGGGAAACGGGGATGGCGAGTAGGGCGAGGAGTTAGGATGGCTTGGGACATCCTGGTGGAAGGTCACGACGAGAGAAGACTCGACCTTGGGTGTTGAGGGGCTTGGGGGCATCAGAAATGAGCTCAGGAAGGTCGAGAGATGGAATTGCGCATCGGTTCGGCGGGAGTGGATAAGAGGGTTGATCGAGTCGATTATGATGAGGCGACCTCCTTAGTATTAGCTCGATTTGACAGATGACATTTAGTAGATATAGTAGACCAGGAACATACGGCGCGAGGGGCTGGAGGAAGCCGCATGATGAACCGAGCTGACTTCCTTGGCGATATCCGCCGGTTTCTTTCCTCGGGCAGAGATAAATGCATCCACTCCCCGGGGCGCCTTTAGTGATTCAAAGGCAATGTATGTGACATGAGCTTTGGATATCTGCCTTAGGCGTTAGTCGAAATTATACATGCTCATCCGATCAAACAATGTCTTGGCCTGGTGTGCATTTCCGGAGATCCAAGCATTCCAGTGTGGGCACAATAAAGATATATATGAGGTCGAGATTCCACCATAATGTTTACATCAGAAAATGTGCAACTTACCGTGGCGCGTCGAATGTATTCCTTAAGTAAAGGAGTGGCGGGCTGTTCTAGAGAGTCCAAGAGTAGGGTGAGGGGTGACGCAGTATCTCTAAGATTAAGGAGCTTAGAGATGAGAAGCAAATTATGCGTTTGTCGATGAGATAGATTTGAGGGGGCCATGTCTCCAGAATTAGACAATCGCCGAATCTTTTGATGGGTCGCAGGGGAGGTAAATGTCAGAAGGGTATCTGCGGGGTCATTGCGGTCATGGAGGAGTCGGAAAGTGCGGACAGAAAAGATTTCCTCGGGGTCGCCGATCTTTACCGAAGCCAGATTTGGCCCGAGGCTCAGCGGGACGGCCCGCGGTCTTGCCTCGAGAAATGCCCCACAGATGCGAAAATTCCCTGAGATCCGACCCTGCATGACATTTACAGATCTTCAAGTACTAACCATGTGGTTTGCTTGTAGAAGCTTAAAGAAAGAGTTATTGCAGTGAAATTTGAGGCACAAATGTGAATACCAATTAATTGGTTCTAAAATAGAAGTAGTAAGACTAAAATGTTACAGAGTAAAATGTAAATATGTGAACATTGAGAGTCTTTGCACTGTAGGGCAGTACCCCATAGTGTATTGATGGCCAGAAGTGGTTGTAAATCATACCAGACTTGGTCCAGGACTATGGTACAGGTAGTGTATGGGGCATGCGATCTAAGAAATTTGCAAAAAGAAGTAGGGACATGGCGGTTCGGGGCGGGAAGGTTAGTGCAGGAAAAAAAGGATCCCCCGAACCAGAATCGAACTGGTGACTTTTCGGTTACAATCATCTATTACAGCCGAACGCCATGAACCAACTAGACCATCGGGGGTTATTACAAGGGCGCTTGTCACAGTTTGGTACATGTTCCCAATGGCAGCCTCATAAAAACTTCCCGATTGTTGCCTGAACCCTCAGGCAGTTTACGCCTCGGTAGCTGATTAAGCCAGGCACACAAAGTTTCTTCGACTACTGTCATTAGTGTTGTTTGTTCCTCACACTTAGAATTCAACATATTTCTCGCCTACGAGCTTGCTACGTAGTTGGAGAATGGTTGTAGCACTCTAGCCAAATTTTTGCGCATTTTCTAATATGTCCGTAGCTTATAGCCGTTAAAGTTAGGTGCACTTCAAACTACCAACCAGAGCCTTTAGTTCATGCTTTGGGGAGAGCCACTTAAAAGACCAGAATTCCAAGTGAATAGCCTGGAATGCTCTATATAGTGAGTGGTTCTTGTGGTTATCATTCTTACCTCCTGAAGCCAGGGAGCTTCCCTGTGCGGAGGAACGTTCCTCCGGAACGTTCTGGTTAGTTAGTATAGGATCAAGGGATCCTCCGCGGTAGGCATCCAGGAACATTCCTAGGTATCCTGCAAGCATTCCTGCCTGAGGCAAAGCCCCAGGCAGTATATAGAGCCCCTGGATCCTCCCTCCTAGGGAGCCTTTCCTCCCTATGGGAAAATTCCTTGACTACGAGTCATAAACAAACTTGTCTTTTACTAAGCTCCTTTGTAGACTGTCACAATCATCACTCGCTTGCTAAATAATCGGCCATCGGATCTGTCGTAGTGACATACAGTAGGTTGTGGTGTTTACGGCTATAATATGAGTAATTATTGGTTGTATCTACAAGATTACTATTACAGAGTATGACCCAGAATAATCAGCAAAAAGGTAAAAAGGTATCCCCCGAACCAGAATCGAACTGGTGACTTTTCGGTTACAATCATCTATTACAGCCGAACGCCATGAACCAACTAGACCATCGGGGGTTATTGATGGGGCGACTCCTGTGAAATACATATATATTCAAAAGCCCTGAAAACCACCACTTTCTTCGTCCATCTTTACGTCATGGGTACTAACGTAATCGGTAAGCGAGTCGGCCACCTTGGCCGGCTTGGCGGGTCAGCGTATACCTATATGATTCTTACACCAAAAATGAAGCTTTTCATATCTAAATTAAACTGTTTAGAAGCCCGGGGTAGGGCTGGAATCGAATATCGAATAGTCGAATATTCGAAAATAGTAGTAATTTCGAATACGAATAATCTATGAATTCCAGCTGACTAATATCTTTTCAAATAAAATTACTCTATTCGAAAATTTAGCACGTGCCCACCACCAAGCTGTGACGAACTGACCAAGAACCACTATATAGAGTGATGCGCGTACCAAGTCGTTGACTTGGTATTCTGGTCTTTTTAGTAGCTCAGTCGGTAACGACCTACTAAGACGGTCTTGGCGGGTAGAAGCGCACCTACCCACTGCCAAGCCCGTAACACAAGCCGTCTCATTGTTTCTCTATTGCTACAACCCTTCTCCAACTACGTAGCAAGCTCGTAGGCGAGAAATATGTTGAATTCTAAGCGTGAGGAAGAAACAACACTAATTACAGTAGTTAGTCGAAGAAGTTTTGTTTAACTACATGGGCCATGGCCTAGTCAGCCGCTGAGGCGTTGTCTGCCTGAGAGTTCAGGCAACAACACTGTAGCTCGCTCAGGCTTCTAGCGATGGTTGTCACATCTATGCAGGGAGTGTCTTCGTAAGCCCAACAAATCCCTCCCACTATTGAAGACCCTCTCTACTATAGGTTCTGGGCTTTCTTTTGGCTTGTTTAAACGAGGTCTTTTGAAGATATGGTCTTCTGTAGGCACTTCATCGTCGCTTCCATCATTCAAGAGATGATAGTCTATCCTCTGAGATCGCTGAAGTCGTCTCGGAAGGTAAGGAGAGGCATCATCCGTTGTAGGTAACGAATAAATACCCCCGTTAGTCATTGCGATAAGATATAGAAGCTTGAATATCTCATATTACCGTGTCAGAAAGATGCAACAGGATATTTAGGTAAACAACGAGTATGCGACGGAACTACACTTAGTCGCGCGGGATTTATTTGGGGCGTCAACCAATCATTTCATGCGCTCGAAATTCTGCCAAGAACTTCGAATATTTTTCGAAAATTCGAATAAGACGATATAAAGATCTTTTCGAATACGAACAGGGAAAATCCCCATTCGATTCCAGCCCTAGCCTGGGGTTAGATGGTTTGATTCGGGCATCTTGTACGTATATGTCCGACAACATGACACCGACTACACCGCGGCGGCGCCCGCCGACGTGGCTGACTATCCAGAGGTCCTGTATCACTAGCTGCTTCCTCCGCAGCCTGCGCGTTGGCGAAGGCCTCACGGGCTTCCTGAACTGTGTAGCCATCCAGACCATGCATCTGGTGTTGATTGCGCTGCTGCGTTCTTTTTCGTCGTTCAACAGTCTCACGAAGTTGAAGGTTTTCATGCTCTAAGAGAACTGCCCGATTTAAGGCTATCTCTGCTCCCTTAAAGATGTATGATAACGCTGTTTGCATGGGTGAAGCCGGAGAATCTGCTTGTTGAAGTAACTGACAGATTGTTGACTCATGTTTCTTGAATTGCTTCAAATTTAAAGGCGGTTTAGTAATAGTTGAAGTAGTTCCTTGGCTGCTTCGCCGGCTCTCCTCTCTGTAGAAGGTGAGTTATCTAGAACCTTTGCCGGGTCAAAAGGAACAATTCCGGAGGCTTTGAAAACACTCTGGATATTGGCCTTCTTAAAGGCTTGGACGTGGGCTTCTAAATAGATATCAAGAAAGTCAACTTTATCGATATGATGATATCCTGTTCGTACAAGCCTTTCAATAAGATTGCTGTAGGCCCTTTTAAATGGTGAAAGGCAGGCTATATCCAACGGTTGACAGATGAGAGGAATTGGCGGGTATGCAGATCGGTATAATATCATATTGACGACATATATTATCAAATTGAGGTATTAAATGGGAGTCATGTCCGTCAAGGAATAAGAGGCTATGTTGGCCTGTTCTCCGGTCCTTAATATAAGGAATAAAGTGTTCCGTGAGCCAGTGTTCACCGATTTTTATTAAATCTGCATTTCTGATAGAGCCTACCGTTATTCAATGAAACAGCAAGAGTGGACGCCTTGAATGGAAGCATGTGGAGGTCAAGCAGCAATTCCACCCACACTAATAATATAGAGGATCTGGTTATGCAGATCCAAAAAAACAAGTAGGTTACATGGTACAAATGTCCATTCGTTTTAAGTACGTACGACCACAGGGTGTGGAGAACAGGGCTTCCCGTCCGCTCAGCCGTACTTAAGCCACACGCCGGCAGGTTAGTAGTTGGGTGGGTGACCACCAGCGAATCCCTGCTGTTGTACGTTTTTTTGTTTTTGTTAATTTTTATGCTTTAGACAAAACCAAGCCCGGCTTGCTTTCTGTCTCTGTTTTGAAATATGCCGGTAACACCCATCCAGCGGCATTAATACACTCAATTGAAGTTATTCATTTCCGATTTCCAGGCTGTATAAGAAAGGGCCTTCCCTCACAGGATGAACGTGTCACTACCTTAGCAGTGGCTACCAGGCCTATGGCGAAGCCTGTTTCATCAAAATTGTAGATATCTTCATCAGCAATCCCGTACATAGCGATAGCGGCTTGTACGCGTTAAACCAGGCTTGTATAACCTCAGGATCCTCACACTTCGCCCGCTTATAGCTAATCTGACGAGAAAACTGACTTTTCAAGGAATCATGCCGGGAAATGAAGTTATATACCCATTTCTCTCCGACAGAGCCTGTTGCATCTTGGGAACGCTTTCGGATCAAGATTGACGCCATATCACGGACCTGGAACTGTCTCGGCGGCGCGCCGCGTTGATCCAACAAGATAATCCATTTAACAAGTGATTCCTCCTCCAACGGAGTCAATTTATGCGAATTAGCGCGTGTTTCCTTGCGAAAAGTAATACCATTTAAGCGATCTTGAAGTGTTGAGTGAGGAACTTGAAAAACACGAGCTGCTTCACGAATTGACTTGGTTTGACACTTCTGAATAGTATCAACTGCTAAGGAGAGTCTTCCCTCTTGTTCCACCAAAATTTTTGATGATTTAGGCATTTTTGATAGTGATATGGATGTTTGGATAGTCTTATTTTTAAAGAGGGGGTAATTCTTGTTGGGATGGCTGACTCGCTTACCGATTACGTTAGGCGTTTACGGGGAAAAATTGTGTACAGATACTCAAACATTTTGATGCTTTATACCACGGTCTATCTATCTAACAATATTCTGCTGTTCGTTCACAGCTCGTCATGCCCGGTCTGCTTGCTTGCGGGGAGATCGGGCATCGACATCATCTTCACCACCATACTAGTCCAACCAGTGAAATGCTGCGTCCGCTGCCCTTGTCCAGTCTCAGGGTTGTACTGTTCCCAGGCAAATCCCGTTTCCTTCCACTCTCTGAAGACGTTCTCGACCACGTTCTTCCGCAGGTTAGAATACAGCTCACGAGCTTGCTCCTGGTGAGGACCAGCATTGGTTGCAATGTCCTAGTTTGAAAGGGTTAGAGTCGACCAACGTCATTTTGGAAAATTCACAACTCACATATAGGTTCTTGAAGACCAAATAGTTGATGTTGACCCAAATAGGGCTTCTCCAGTAGTTTTCTGCCGTTCCGTAGAATTCGTCCTTCTTACTCAAGCTGCGGATTCCATAATCACTCCAGAGCGCCTCCGGGTCGCCAATCAAGTCCAGGATGGCCTTGAGTCGAGGGCTGTCCGGGCCGATCATGCCAGTAAGGAAGGGGAAAAGGGAGATGTATCCTTTGTGGCACACGTGAACGCTTTCCTCAAACTCATCGATAGTGGCGTCGCAGTATGTCTGCGCTTCCTCATCCCAGTGAAGGTCGTCGATGTTTCGTTCGATGGCCGTTTCGTATACCTTGAACTCCTCGGCGTCCTCGGTTTCGCCCAGGGTCTCCGCGATCCGACGGAGAGCGCGTGTCATCATGCCCATCCAGCTGATCAGATCAACGTGGAGCTCGCCTGGGTGCGGAGGCTGGGCACGAGGGTAGTCGTCCAGTCCGGACGTAAGGATATGCTGGATAGAGCGACCCCGCCAGCGGTAGGCCTCCTTAGACGAGAATGCCTCTCGGTCATAGGAACTGACTTCTCCTCTCTGGGTGTTCCTGTACCAGGCATAGTGTTTCTTGAGGAGAGGGTAGATTGAGCGAATATATGCCTCACCCAATTCGGGATGCTGGGTGTAGACTGATCCAAGATTTTCGGTAAGGTCTTCCTGGGACCTATCCACCGAAACGTTCTTGTTTGCCACCAGCTGATCAATGAATGCCTCTAGTATGATGAAGAGGGTCGGAGGGTTGGCGTAGTGGGGGTATTGGACGGTAAACTCGGGCGGAACCTTACTGCGGGCCTCGGAGCCCAGGATCTGCTCTCGAGCAATCCAGCCGTCCTCATCCATCAGATTGAGCCAACTCTTGACAATCTCGAGTCTTTGGATGCAAGTCAGTACTGGTAATCAATGCATGAGAGATAATGGAATTGGAGAGGTACGCACGCCAGATCGGTGTCCCATTCAAGAACGGGGATCAAGTGAAATCCTTCATCCCAGAGGAAACCCCTGGGGAAGAACGGCCGAGAAGGAACGCTGGTAAAGAGCTGCTTTGGCCCCTCAAGCACAGCATGGGCTCTGGCCCTCGCTTCTGCCGTCTCCTCCCAGAAGCCCTCATTTTCCTCATCATACTCTGGAGCTGCCGAACGGTCAACAACATCCGTTCCGTAAAAGTAGCCTATGCCACCGACAAGGTTGGAGAGCATTGACTTGGAAAACTCGGAGTACTGCTTAGAGTTGAAGGGAGCCTGCGGGGGAAGAATCTTTTCAAATCGATCAGCGAAAGACAGCGAAGCGCTTGCAATCTCTTCAGTCAGTTTCTCGGCTAGAGAGCATTAGGGGTCAGTAGGTGCTGTAGAAGTATAAATTGCAATCCAGGGACAACTCACATGTCACAGGCTGGGGCGAAGAGCCGGAAGAGAAAAGAATGTCGAACTGGTGGATGTAAGTAACTTCCTTCTACGCCGACCACGGTACATACCTCGAACTCGCCCTTGAACACCTTCTGAACGAGATGAATGTTTCCGTCACCTGGTATGTTTTTGATGGAGAAAACTTGAGACGGCGGAGGAGGGTTATCTGGTCCATATTTCTGGATGATTTCATTGACTTCGCCTTTCATCTGCGAGAACAGGATAACTATACAATAAGTTAGTAAAACATTTAACGCTGCCAACTGGACTGTAATAAGAGAACCCTTTGTTTGCCAGACATGCTCCGCTTGGATGGTCGAACTAGAGACCAAGGTACGATCCAATGGCTTATCCTCGTAACTTGGGTGATCGTGCTCGGGGTGTTCGTTGGTGTCCGGGCCCGCAGTCACATCGATTGAAAAGTCACCGAGATCAGGCGTGTTTCCAGAAAGTCTCACATCACCTTCGAATCCCCGGGGGTCCTCGGATTCAGTGGTGACAGCCAAGTCGCCGATACCCTCCAGAGACGAATAGAAGATAATGGTTGTAGGTTGATCGGGAGGGGCATCTTCGCGAGGCACTCCCTTCACACGGGCAGCCCAGCTGCCTCCGTGCTCTCCACCGGGGACTTTAACGAAATCAATTGTCAGGTCCAATGAGTTTCCGGCGTCGTGGATCGTTTGGCGGCCGCCCTTCCGGATATCGTATTCGTCCCAGCCGTAGCCGGCCATTCCTTCATTTTGTTCACAGGTATGCCTGAAGTCTTCAATGCGGTCAGTCAATTGAACGAATTGGAGGATGATCTTTCAGGATAAAGCAGCAATTGAAAGGCATGGTGAACTGTATAGCTGGACACATACTCCCTTGGGCAGTAGCGAAATCATCCACCTTCGCCCACAGCAATCCGGCAGATATGCTGTCCGGGATTCGAGGACGCACTCCGAAGTAGAGGTTCGGCTTATAGGGACCCCATAGCAGAGACTGGTTGTTGGCTCTTGCGGCTTCTTTGGCTAGGATGGACTCATCGCCGGTCGCTGTTTGGCCGGCAAAAGCCGCACCCGCCCAGGACAATGGGAGTAAGAGAGAGTAGAAATTGAAGCGAGTCATATTTAAATCAGAAACATGAAGAAAAGTATGAGAGCCTCGAAAATCGAGGGGTGACCATAGAGAGCGACTGAACGCAGTTTAGCCTTTTCTCCGATGGATGGATGTTAGTGGTTTGTTATCTATCTGGCATGACCGACGGGAGAGCTTGATCGCTCCGCATATGACGTGGTCCAAGCTCCCGAGCATACAGTTCTGCCTAAGAATACAAAATCATTCTCATAATATAAGATCAACATGCGCTTTAATCATCATGCTGTATTCGTTCTTAGAATATATACACTAATCTAGTCTCTAAAAGTAATTTCTAGGGTCAAGAGACGAAATCTTGGCGCTCTTGGCCTGTCCATCAAAGACAAACTCGCTAATGACCTTGCCAGTACCAGGCGCATTTTGAATACCCCAGCAGGTATGGCCTGCAGCGAGATACAATCCCTTGGTCCCAGCATGACCGACTAACGGACCTCCGCGCGCGGCCGCGACGTTGGGTAAGTAGCAAGCTTGACGCGCGCAAATCTGGCCGTCGCGTAGCTCATCTGAGACGCTACCAACCTGATTGATGATATCCTGGCATCGCGCTTCGTCGACTTCAACGTCTGCTGTGGTCGCAGGGAGTGGCACGACGTGGTCACCCTCTCCACATGCGTATACCGTCTCATCAGGGCGAGCGTAGATCTCCGGTTGCGCAACAGTCGGGCGCGAGGGTTTCGATGGGTCGAAGTTGGCGGGTATCTCGATGTTCGTGAACAAAGTATATCCACTAACTGGTCTCGTGGGTCGAATGACCACACTGTGGGCTCGCGTCGCCGAGATAGGGGCGTTTGGCAAGACCGATCTTGTCCAAGGGCCAGCAGCAATAACGACGTCCGTGGCAGGAATAGTACGCGCTTCGCCCGATCCCTTGTCTGTGTAGGAAACCGACTCAACGGCATCCCCTGAATAACCGATGCCTGATACGGATCCGAACGTGATGTTTGCGCCTTTCTCTTCGGCGAGTTTCGCAATGGAGGTGGTGAAGAGGTAGGGGTGGACTTGGGCAGTTTCTCCGGGATCACTCATGCTCTCGTAGCCTCGCAGTAGTTCTGGCTCGATCCAATCAAGATCCTGTGGGACTCTTGCCTTCTTCAGCTTCGCTAGGGCATCTGCGCTTCGCTTCTGTAGAGATACTGAGCTGCCAGCCTCTCCACCCGTTGCCTCTTTCTTTTCGTTCAGCGAGCGGCCCCTTGCGATCAGTTGCCCGCAATTGACCTCTCTATAGCCCCATCTATCCTTTCCACCGTGCTCCTTGGCCAGTTCCGTGTGCAGTTTGTAGCTCAACGGCACGATGTTGCTTGGGTATGCCCATTGCGCCAAAAGGCCACCGGCCTTACCAGACGCACCTCCCGCAATCTCGGAGGCTTCGATGAGCGTTACTGAGTGACGCAATGGGTCGAATGACGGGTGTCTTGTTATATAATATGCCGAGCAGCACCCAATGATACCGCCACCTTAAACAGACCTGTCAGCTTGGAGGGCTCAACGGGCGGGGTAAATTGCCATGAAGGGCTTGAAATTCTTACCGACGATGACAATGTCACGACGCTCGTTTGTAGACGACATTCTGTGGTATCGAGCGATGCTAGATCCTAGAGCTCGTACTGAAGCCACGGTGACGAGTGTTGGAAGAAGTCTGGGTTATTCCAGGAACTACGGCGGCGTGGGGAAGCAACCTTTTATGAGCCCATACGTCACTGCCAGTCATGTGCCGCGCCGGAAGCTCAGTAACTTAATAAGTAATTAAATCATCGGAAGGTGAAGATGAAACCAGGTTTCCTAATTTTGATTTGTACAAGGATAAGAATAAGATCTCCTGTAATTCGCTAGATAACCCAGGTGCCCCGTGAAGTGCAAAAGAACCAGCTCCGTAAATGCATATGAACCGCACCAGAATTAGACCATGATAGATGCGCCCCCGTCAGAAAGAGGGTACAGGAATAAAAGAGAAGCAAAAAGAAGTAAAAGCAACAAGATGGCAAGAAGAGTGAGAAAAATGTAGATTTGGTATATTGCAAGGTGCAGTTTTTCTTTCACATGCGTGAAGGGCTGAGTGGTCGGTTGAATCCTCCTATACGGTTCATGTACTGGCGGTATTCTGTCTTTTTCTCCTTTCGCACGCCATAGACATTGTTTCCAGGAACCTTCGTGTTTTTTGTACTTCGAAATTTGCTGAACCCCATGCTCCTGCGCATCATCTCGTCGACATCGTCCTCTGCGACAGGGTCGTCGGTGTCTATATCCATTCCATCTCGGGGCCGGCTTGTTAACTTGGGGTCTGGTGCACCGTTGGCTTGGTTGCGATGATCTCTGCGGTCATTTCTGCGGTCGCCTCTGGGGGCTCGCACTGGCGGTGTCCTGGACCTATCTCTGTTGCCATTGCGGCCGGGCGATCGAGAGCGATCTCGATATCTGTCGCCTTTTGTTGGGTAACCTTCGCAGCTTGTTAATGATTGAACCAACGGAATATTGCGATATAAATCCGTACCTCGTCTTTCATGGTGTCTGTCGCGACTGACGCTCCTTCTGTCTCTAGGCCCACGCTCGTCCCTGTCCCTCTCCTTTCGGTCGCGATCACGGTCCCGACGGTCCCTAGACCAACTCCTGTCGCGCCTCCGATCTCTCCGGTCTCTCGAGCGTGAGCGATATCTTCTGTCGTCGCGAGGACCGTCACGCCGTCCATCCTCCTTTGAATGTGTTTCACGCCTTGGACTCCTGTCGAAGTCTGACTCTGCTTCATCCGGGCGGCCCTCTTCGTCATTCATGTCCCACATAGTCGAGCTGTCCACCCGACGGGCGCGTTTCGCCGGTGGCTCTGTCATCTTTACCGGTGAAGTGTTATGATCTTGTGAAGTTTTCGGACCTTTGTGACTGAAAGATTCGGTGCGAGGAGTTGAATGGAAGTTCGGTGACACCGCCTAGGGAAATGGGTGGGGAGGCAATATAGCGCAATAATGGAGATAACGCGGTATTTAATTTAATTCCATGTCATTAAGAGGTCGTCTTCGACTTGTTCAGGGGTATCAATTATTTGGAAATGAGGGGAGTCTGTGGCAGACTGCAAAAGAGATACCGCGGATTTACGGTTGTCGAAACCTGTCGATTGCGCAGTGTATCCCAATCGGGTTAGATATCCAATGGGGCTTGGCATTATGGTGCCTAGTATCGAGGTGGCTGATGACTCGCTTCAGTTTGCCCTCGCATTACCGGATATTGGTGAATTGTAATCCCAACTCCTGGTATGGACTAACCTGGATAATATCACGCTTTACTATAGCGGAACGGGGTTGAGATGAATAGTTTCAGGCATAAGTGGTGGTTATAATATTTATGAAGACCTTTTATTGATATCTAGATCGGGACTCTCATGTGAGTTTGGGGCTCGGTGTAACTACTATGATAGAATTTCGGCAATGTGTTGATGCTTGGTGGTCTATGCTACCTTGGGTGTACATGGAATAAAGCAGATCACTCTGGGGACCACACAGTAGAAGTGGAAAACCATTTGCAACCGTTACACTGTAGATATATATTAGATTGAGTACTCTACTGGAAAATCCCAGGTGTTGTACATTTCCCAAGTGCAACATGTGCCTATCAACAAAAAGACAAGAGGATGGGGCACACTAGGCTTGAGAGATAAAGCCTATATAGGGGATTTAGATAATCATAAGTAAATTATCACAAAATTAAAATGTATTTGTTACAGAGTAGTGGCCATGGCCGCCATGCAATTAATAATAACTACGTACCTCTGCGATGCATCGTTTGTGAACCATGAAACATTAATTTTGGCTTAGTAACAACTAATCCCCCGATGGTCTAGTTGGTTCATGGCGTTCGGCTGTAATAGATGATTGTAACCGAAAAGTCACCAGTTCGATT